GCATCTCAAGCGCACCTGTAAACTGTAATAAAAAGTATCGCATCACTCCCAAAATGCTTACACAATAAGGAAAAAGGTGGAAGGACAACTAATTTTTTATAATTTATTTTCATGAGAAGACATGTCCGTTTATTTTTTTTTTATATAATTTATCTTCATTTTATTCTACATCCTCTCTCTTGTACATGGTCCCACAATTATTGCAATCGAAAAGCCTCATTAGAGATGACGTTCTCTCCATCCCCATTTTGTATATCAAATGTACAATTACACACATTATGGATATGATCTTAGTATTTGTTCATATAATTTTGCATTGTACGTGTGATCAACATTAGATGTTAGTGCCTACCGATTATGTACTAAATCCTTGTTCCAATGGAACTATCACTAGGAAAATCCAAAAGGGTTGTGACTTATTCTAAATGGTCTAGTTATCTATTGAAAAGATCGAAATATATTTTTATAATGTTAATTCAAATTGTTTTATGTTCTCTATTTTAATATGTTGTTATTACCAAACAAGTTAAAATACATATCAAAAATATATATTATTTTAAGAATATCCATACTAAAGTAAGATAAGGAATTTTATTTTGGGAAAGATTTTTCATTTTTTTTCCGAAAAAATGACCTTTGTTGGAAAACGTGTGGCTAAAAAGTAGGAAACATATATGAAAAACGTGAAAATATTTTTTTTAAAAAATATATGATTGAAAATGAGTTTGAAAAATGATCTTTCTCTTCGAAAAAAGGACTAAAGTCAAATGTTTACTTTTCATACTGTTATATAATATTGTTAAATAATTTGAAATTGTTTTCATAACGGCACCAAAGATGTTTAATATAGTATTATTGTTTAAAAAAATGGCGGTGAAACTAATTAAATGCGTGAAAATTGAAATAAAATCTAGAAACCACACTATCGTCACGACCATAGCCACCGTCGACTTCCACCACTACCAAACATCCCCCTCAATCTCACCACCCACGATGTCATATTTCTCAAGCTAAATATAGATGAATTATATACAATCCAACCAATATTATCTGAATTAAAAAAGACTAAAAAGGGGTATCAGGGACAGATCCAGACATTTCGAACTCTAGGGTCAAAAATAAAAATTTTCATCGTAGTCCGTAGACGAGTAGCAGCATGGGCGGACCTATATAGCAGGGACTATGCTGCTGAGGGACGGCCAGGTGGAGGGCCGATGACGAAGAGAAAACTGGAAAGTGGAAAAGACGAGTACAAAAAGGGAGACGAGTCACGACTCACGTTCGGTAATTGGCAGTTTGGGAAAAATGGGATTTGATTTGAGAATATTGGAACTCATTATATAAGTTGGATTGGATTTGAGTAAATTAATAAATAGATTATGGGATTATGGATGTGGATATAGTGATTGGATTTGGGCTTTTCGCAAGTATGGGCTACTATTTGAAAATTGGATTTGGCAATTGATAGCAGGTAGTTGCTAGGTTATAAAACAAAAAAAAATTGTGAGGTCATTTGACCCCATGTGGGTCTGCCCCCAAGGGACATGATTGAATCTTCAAAATTGAAGAACGATACATGAAAGCGAGGAAACTTACATACTTATAGCTGCTTTGAGATTGTGCAGTGATCTTGTGGCTTTCAACGAACAATTTGCAATTACATTGAACTTTCAACATCCATCTAATGCAAATATTATCATCATTTCTTGTGAAAAACGAGAAAAAGAAATACAGGTCGAAGTGAAACGACGACCGATGGAAGATATTCAGAGTTGCCCATCCATCATTTTGTATGGTTTTCTTATGTTCAACATTTGTCCAGAGTTATCCTTTCACCCCAAAATCTGTTTACAATTTTAGACCTCAAGTTTTGCAATAATTCATGAAAGAAAGAACCTTCTAGCTTTTCTTGGTTTGCAAAACTTGTCGATTTACACCACAGTGGTGGCGATAGTGACGGTATATATATATATATATATATATTTTAAGTATAAAACGGTATAAAATTTTGACTGACAACACATGACTGAAATTGATTGAAAAATGAAAAAAGAAAACAAAAAACAATCTAATCAGCTACGCCCATGTGGACATCGGTAGGAATTTTATCAAGAATTCTCTGTACTCATGGCTTTTTCCATAAATGTAACACAATACTTCCATAACAAATAAATTATCACGCTATTTTTTAATAATTGTTTTTTAGTGTATCTGTATAAGTTTCAATAATTTGTTTTTCAATCTATGTATATAAATTCCCCATAATAATATTGAAGAAATTTAGACAGAGAAATGAGTCTGAGCCTAAGTCCTTGTTTGGGCTCCATTTTAATTTTTTTTTTTTTTGGGAAAATATATTTTGAAATAATCATTTTTTAAGAATGTGTGTTAAAAAAAAAAGAAAAAAATTTGAATTTATGCACAATATTATTTTATTTGAAGAATGTTGTAATTAAAAAGAGGAGGAAAAAATGCATTTTAGATAAAATTTAGGCCAAACATGGGCTAAACTAGACATTATAGAACGTGAAAATTACATGAGCGCTTATTTTTTAAATTTACATTTCATTAATCCTATTTTAAGTTTAATCTTTCAGAAATTAGAAATATCTCTCCACTTTCTCTCTCTCCATTAATCCCCGTAAATATATACATCAAGTTTTCACTCTCCAATCTCTCTAATCTACACATTTAACCAATCAAATTGTTGCTTAATTGTCTCGAAATTCGATACCCAAAGTTGCAATCGGACGATTCCGTCAATTGCAATTGACAGCCAAAAATGGTGGTGGTGGTTCCAGTGGTTGTTTGGTTTTGGGTTGCAAGATGGACAGTCTTTTCTCCATTTTCTATGGATTTGAGATGGTGGCGGAGAAGGGTTTTGGCTTTTTTGTCGCATTTGTGGTGTGGTGATGGAGGTTGTGATTGTTGGTGGTGTGGTGAGGTGTTGGTCTGTGTTCTCTGTGGATTTGAAGAGGTGGTAGCAATGAGTTTGGGGTTTTTTTGTAGGAGGGGGTGGTGGTTGTGGTAGAGATGGAGGTTGTAATTTTTGTGGCTATTTTACGGTGGTTTGTGGTGGATCTTGAGATAGTGGTTCTAGTGCTGGTGGTGGTTATGGTGTTAAGTTAGGTTGGGGTTATATAAACACGTTTGTGACCTATAAATTTGGTTAATCTGTAACCAATAAAATAAATAATTTATGATACTGATGTAATGACATGTCACAGTCCTTTGACACTTGTTATGGGTCACATATCAATGTTCATAGATCATATATCAAATAGAATTGGCCACAGATCACTGATCTATGTTCATGGGTCAAATACTAATTAGTCACATGTTATAATGCATAAGTCACAGGTTAATATTCAAAGGTCACGTTTATAATTTACAAGTCATATTGTATATGTTACATATGTTCACAGATCACAAGTTATAATTCACAGTTTAATATTAATTGGTTACAAACTATAGCTCATAGGTCACAGGTAACCGTTCACATATCATATGTCATATTGTAAAGGTCATTGGTTATAGTTCACATGTCAATATTAATTAGTCACAAGTTATAGCTTATAGATCACCTTTATTGGTAACATATCAATGTTTACGGGTCACAAATTCAAAAGAATTGATTACGGGCTTGGAACAATGTCACAGACAATAAATCAATGAAAATTTAAAAGAATTGATCAAATGCCATTGATTTCTCCGAATTGCTCACAAATTCAATAAACCAGATTTCAGAATGTGGGAATTGAAGTTATTTCATCTGGTGAGTAATTTTAAAAAATATAGATTTAAATTACACTAGTACTGCATAATCGTGGTTGAAGAAAATGATCAGTTGCCAACGATGATGCTCAGTTGATGTTCTTCAACAACTGCTATTTTTCTCTCTCTCTCTTTCCTATCCGAGCCAACGATGCTCAACGACGATCAGTTCGCAGTTAAAAGTTATTAGCAATCTTTTGTAGATTCTATCTTTCTCATGTTGCTCACTGTGAGTGTGGATATCGATGAACGGCAGATGCCAACTCCAGTTATCAGTGTTCTAAAAAGCTCATTTAGAGGGCGCCAAGGCACCGCCTAAGCTTGAAGCTCGGGCAAAACGCCTCGCTTTGCACCTAGATGCTTTTTTTCCAATTCCTAAACGATTAAATTTTTTCCTTCATTTATTTTGTCTTCTAAAGACGCGATTTATTAGTCATTTTAAGTCTTTCTCTCTCTCTCTCTCTCTCTCTCTCTCTTTTTAACATTATTATTATTATTATTATTATTCAAAAAAGCTTTTCATTTTACTTTAATTTTAAGTTTTTAAATGATTTTATTTGTACAAAAATAAAAAATGATTATTTTTGAATAGTGAAATAAGATTTAAGTTATGATGTCATCTACATTGTTTAATTGTGATTTTGAGACTCATTTTATTACAACATTCAAAAGTATGTATGAAGTTCCTATAAACTTATTAAGTAGGACTTGTCTAGTTGAAAATTGAAACATTGAAAAATATTCCAATTTTTACATTTCGCAAACCTAAAAATTGTTTAATTGACTAATGGTAGGAACTATTAAATAAATATTGTATTTTATAATTTTAGATGTTTAATATGTATTATTTTAATTATTAAATAATTTTTAAAATGATTAAAAAGTGAAAATAATATTATAAATAAGAAAACGTTTTTTTAGGCCTAAACCTTGCATAGGTTCGCTTAAGCTCGTAAAGATTGAAACTTGGGTTCCGCGCCTAATCACGCTCTACGCTTTTTAGAACACTACCAATAAGATGGAATGGCCACGAACGTATGCCGATGATTGTGGGTTTAATTGGAGAGAGATTGATATTAATTTATATATAATTTTTTTATTTAACTAATAAACTTCAATTACCATCTGAATTTTAAAAAATTAAACTTGTGATCTGAAAATTGAATTGGTCTAAATTTAAGGCATGAGATATAAATTTTTCCCTCATATAAATCGGGCCAAGAGTCCAAATGCATGGGCTGAAGGCCCGGAGAAGACAGCGAACCCAGATAGATCGCATTCTCAGAATGCTGTACACCCCAGCGCACGATAGCAGAGACTCGACTGTTTTCTGGGTCGCTTGCTCTGTACGCGCTTGGGATTTCACTGACCATATCCTGCCGACCTTTATTACCCATCAACCGCCGATGCTCAATCGCATTTTTCTCGTTCTTCGGTTCCCGGAATTCGACTCGATTTTTATCGATCCCAATAACGAATTAGGTAATTTCCATCGATTTTTTCAATCTTTATGCAATTTCATTGTTTTCTGGTTGATATGCATGTCGATCGTGTGATCTATTAATGGTTTTTTAATCGATTGAGTTTTGATAATAAGATATTTTGCGATTCGGCTGTATTTGTATCAATTTCATCATCGAATTAGGTATTTTTCATGGATATTGTTCGATTTTTATGTGATTTCAATGTTTTTGGGGGTGATATGCTAGTCTATTTTGCGGCCTGCTAAGATTATTATTATTATTATTATTATTATTATTATTATTATTATTATTATTATTATTATTATTATTATTATTTGTAAATAATTGTTTTTCATGACTAGTGGGTTAGGAATTATTAGCGTTTTCTTATTCGCTCGAACAATTGAGATTCGATTTTTTATGTGAATTTTTTGTTGATTCATCTGCACGTCAATCTCTTGTGTGATTATTGTTGAGGATCTAATTAAAGATTGTTTTTTAAACACGGGTGAAAACTAATTGGAATTTTCAGAAATGTTCATATCAAATTCTTTAGGTTATCTCTGCTTTTTTAATTCTTTAGGTTCTTTCTGATGATTCCTCCTATTCTGTGAAGATCAGAAGGTTTTAGGCATTAAAGGTTTTTATTAATTTTATTTTGTTTTATCATTTTACTGAACTGGAGTCATGTGAATTATTATCTGTTTGTTTCAATTAGTGCTTGAGCCTGAGCTTTTACTCCATTAGACTATGAATATTTGATTTTTGTTATCAGGTGAAGATCCTCTATTTGTCTGTATTAATTTCTGAAGAAACGATAAATAAGAGAAAAATGATAGTTTAATGTGTTAAATATCATAATTTGAATGATCATATGATGTGGTCTTACTTTCACAAATTACTATTTATGACTCGGCATTTATTTTAGTAGGGTGAGGATTTTTTTTATTGATATTAGTGGACTTCTATACATTTATGCCTCTAGCTATCTGGTGCATATGTGCTGAAAAAAATCTGAGTTTCTTGCTTTTTTGAACACAAGTTTCTTGTTTATATTTTTGTATAATATCTTTTTCCTTTTGTGATCAGGTCGATTTTACTTGGTTCACAAGGAGCCAAGATCCAAATAGTCTCCTTTGGTCCCTGGTAATTCACTGTCTCAATGGTGGGATATGATAGAGATGTATGCAAATACTGCACTGATCTTATGCTTTTAAGGTTTCTTATACATTATGCGTTTATTAATCACTATTCTGCTATTACAGGAATATGAAGATTTGGATGAGTATGAGGAGGATGATGAGAAGTACGAGGAAGAGGGCTACGAAGAGGAGGAAACCCACCAGCCCACACAGGAGGCATTGGAATATCTTGAACTGAGGCAACGGTTAAAAGAGACATATAGAAAGAAGATGAAGAAGCAATTAGGGACTGCTAATCCCAGTTCCAGTGAAAAAACTAATGCAGTGCGCAAGGATAAGTGAGTTTCATTTACTCATTGTAAATTTCGGAGACTCTTTGTCCATGTGAGTTTGTTCTTGATACAAAATCAGTGGAATCATTGAAGAAATTTTTTTCCTCAGTTTGATGAGATGTCTTTTTACTGATTTTTCCTGTTCCAATTAATGAAAAAACAGTCTATAATATGTGCCATCTGTGATATTCGTGACTCTAAGCTGTTTTAATTATCTGTGATTTTAATATGAGTTTAATGTGCTAATACTCCCAAAGTAATATGTATTGCTAGTGTAAATGTGATAAGCTGTTGTCCCTCTAGCATTTTCAGCTGTTTTGACTTGTTTATGATTTTTTGAAACTCCTGGATTTTATGACAAACACCGTTGTCTTTGAACAGTTCTGCAATTTGGGCCTATATTGTATTTTGGTTCAATTTGAAGGCTGCTCTTGATGTATTGTTTATGTCTTTGCTCTATGAGTAGGCATTGCTCAACATTATTCAGTTTATATTGATTTTGACTATGTTGTTTTGCAGCTTTGGTTCATTCTTTGGGCCTTCACAGCCAGTTATTGCTTCGAGAGTGATTCAAGAAAGCAAGTCCTTGTTGGAGAACCCAAATTTGGCAGCAAGGATTTCTAAATCCAATACTTCCATGCAAGCCAATAAGAACTCTGCTTCAGCCACTGCGGGGTCAAAACCTCGATCTGACCATCTGCAAAAAGTTACCAATGGGGTAATTGTAGTAGTCATTGCTTCATTTTGGGGTTAATTTAAATCTTTCTGTTTCCTTGATCAAGTGTGCAGTAGCTAATGTGACCTTTTCCACAAGAAACAGATTTTTTCTTCTTCTTGCCTCTCAATAATGTATTGTTATTTGTTATTCTGGTATTCTTCCTTAACAACTTAAGCATATTCAGTACTGCAATTTGTTCCAATTTATAGGATTTGTGTTTGAGCAGTGTCAGATCTTTTTCAGGTATAATCCTAACAAGTATCGAGATGACGATGATGACAGTGACATGGAGGCCAATTTTGATGATATCTTGGCTGAGGAGAGACGCAGGTTAATAAGAAATATTATTGATATTGCATGGCTTTTAACTTCGGTTTGTGTACTTGCTTCTTGTTTTATATTAAATGAGTCAATGGTTAGCCCCTGCAATTTTTTTTTCCTGTCTGGTTAAATAGGCCACACTCATTTGGCTCGTCTCTTGTATTTGGCTTATTATACTTGGTATTGCCACCCATCAGGGAAATTTTGGCCTGTCATATTTATATAATTTTCTTTCTATTATAGCTAATTTTGTTCTCGTTTTCTTTTTACGTCACATCCTAATCACCATTATTCCATTAAATAGCTGAATTCAATTTATGACCAAAACATTCAAATTGAGAACAGCATGCTTCTCTGAAAACTTATTTCTAGTTGGCAATGTCGTGGACTGCCTAGAAGCTGCTTGCTGTTTGGTATTTCGACGATTCATTCATTTATGACAAATTTTGCACTGACAAGATTCCCTGGATTTGGAAGAATGAGTAACTTTGAGTTGATATTTTAGTTGGTTATGTTACTTTCGAATTTTATTTTCATAGCAGCAGCTAAACACGTGAAAATTAGCCCCCATTCTGTTTTCATGTTAAAGCTCGTCTCATCTCATTACATTTCTTGTTATTCAGTGCAAAAATTGCGCTTGAAGAGGACAGAGAACAACTACGCTTGATTGAAGAAGAAGAAAGGAGAGAGCGGATGCGATTGCCAAAGAGGCAAAAGCGATGATAGAAGAAATTCTGCAATAATAACAGATTTGGCTGTTGAATTAGCTCAAGAATTGCTAGAAGAGCGAAAAATGTGGGGAGCCTCACCCTGATATTACTAGAAGTTGATTCAATATGTTAGTGGATGAGAAATGGGGCTTTGGTAATTTTAAATATGCATATGATTGATTATTTTTTGTGCCCTTCAATTTGTTTGGGGATGAAAATGAAAATGTATAATTAATTTTCTACACTTCTAGTGAATGTGGGTTCTTTTCTGTCCATTTCCTTTCGTCTTAATTGTGACTTTCAATCCTGCACCTCCATCTTCATAGGAGAATTACATCTCAATCCAAATACGCAAACATGAATTGTCGATAAGTAATAGCGCTGAGAATTTCCTTTTATAAGCTTATTATGTTATATTTAACATTTTTTCCTACTCAGATGTTTAGACTACATAACACATAAAAAAAAAACAAAATTTTTAAGTTTGTTGTTGATCCGTATCTATTAATCTAATTTTATTTATCAGTCAATAGTTCTTGTAATATAAAACTTGGTTATTTTAGTTCTTGCAATCAAGTGAGACTAAAATTTGGATTTTTTTTTTCTTTTTTTAAATTCAATTTGGACTAAAAGTGTAAAGTGACTAATCGAATTGAATCAAATCAAACGATTTGGTTTGATTCAGTTTAAAAGTTAGAGTGAGTTGGTTTGAATTGAAATCGACCTAATCGATTAATTTGATTTTGGTTTTGGGTTGGAGTCGAAATCAATCCAAGTCAAGCTGCGTCCAGGATTATTGGTTCCTCTCCCACGTATCATTAGTCTTCCTATTTATGTGCCATCTAGATGGGAATCCATTGAATACGTGAAGATGCTCTAAGCCTTGTCTTGTGTTAACTATTCGAGTTGAATATCTCAATTGTCAACATAGTTTTCTTATCTTGTTTCAGTTCCATTGAACATTCCTAAAATGATTTTAGTCACTATTGAACTATAAAAGTTTTTCGAGTTACTATTGGAATTTCTTAAAATATTTTTTACTTTATATTGAAGTTCAAAAGTTTTTTGAGTGGCCACTGAGCTTATAAAAATCTTATTTATTTCGTCATTCATTGTTCTAAAAATAGTTCAAAAGTTTTTTGAGAGGCCACTGAACTTATAAAAATCTTATTTATTTCGCCATTCATTGTTTTGAAAATCAATAGACTTGTTTAATAGTTTTCAGAGTTGCCATAGAGCTTATCAAAATATTATTTATTTCGTCATTCGTTTGTTCTAAAAATTAATAGACTTGATAGCAGATAAACAAAATTTTCACACACGACATTATTTAGATGTTAGTGTATGCCACTTTGTCAAAATTGCGAGTGATGTACGTTTTGAAAAAGATGGAGTAATGAATGAAAAAATATTTTTGTAAGTTCCTTAGCAATGAAAATTTTCAAATGATAAGAAAGAAATATTTAAAAAAGTTTGTGACAACTACCTTGTTTGCCCCATTTTATGGAAATGAAAATGGGCAGAATAATATTTTTTTGAAAAATGAGTAGTTGAAAAAGAAGAATTTTTTTTTTATGTGTAATATATCTTATGGAAGATTGTGTGATTGAAAATATGAGAGAGAAAGATGAAATGTAATAGAATGAAAATTAATGAAGGTCAAACAAGGAATAAAATATTTAACCCTAAGATGTCTCTAAAGTGGGGTAATGTTAGTATTGAGCTTGATGCATGAGAAAATAATAATAATAATAATAATAATAATAATAATAATAATAATAATAATAATAAGGAAAGAAAGAAATACAATTGAATGACAATGACAATTTGTAAGAGCTATTTGTCACAAACCGCAAGAAAGTGACTATAGGCTTGGCATGACACGGGAATGTTATGGCACAAAGTGGGAACATGAGGTAGACCTATGGCAAATTAGTTTCAAGTTTCGACGATATATGGAAATGAGGGCGTCACATAATTTGGTGGGGAAGTGACTTATGTCCCAAATTTGCGTTTGTTACGTTCAGGTTACAACATAGGAAATTGGATAGCTCGGGCAGTACGCTACAGTTGGACGTAATTTCCTGCTGTAGGAGATGTAGGTTGGGAAAATCAGGTAGAGCATGTAGTGTGCTATGGTTGGACAAAACTACATGCAGTAGGGGATGCAGGTTATGAAAACACAAGCACTGTAGTAGGGGACATGCCGGACAAACACTGGCCTTGTGACAAGGAGACAGAGGCAGGCAAAACTCAAACAGACTGTACAGGCACTTCGATAGGGCGCAGGCAAATTGTGTAGACAGAACGCAAGCAGTAAAGGCGGGCTGAGAAAACACCAACAGGGGATGAAGGGCTGGAAGTCGGGTTTTTCTAAGGTGATCATTATTGTAAAGGGGATAAATACCCTGAACTAGGGCCAGGGGTTTTGCATGTAAGTAAATGCCAACTGGTACAACTTGTCTACAAGTTTGATGAAGGAAGTAAAGTCCAACTTGACAACCATGATAAGAACATATTCACTTGCACATGAGTTTTATAGATTGTCTATTTACACGGAAAGGGACATGCCAACTAGCACAGAGTTGAAAATGGATAGGGCACCTTGTAACATGACAACTTGCAAGTGTAGAAACATACAACTTGCAAGACAGTAAATTTCAATTTGGTTACCTTCTGGTCTAAAGAGGTAGATGACAACTTGTAATCAATGAGAACTCTTGGATCAAAATTAATCATAACCATTGATGCCAACTTATCTACTAAGAGTTTGCCTATAAATAAAGGCATCTAATCATTTGCTAATCCCAACAAGGAATGGAGGGAGTGTTGCTGTGTTGGAGAGTTGAAAAAAAAATTCACATGGATGGAATAGGAGTAAAGTAAGATTGAGTAATATCTTTGTAGAGAGAAAATACTTGAGAGTTTGTACATAAAAATATACAAAAAAATGTGTGTTTTTTCTTATAATTTTATATTAGCCTCTTTGGTTACATTATCACGGAGGTTTAAGACTGACTTAACTCTATCTCATTGGGATGGGAGCTGTGGAGCGTTAAAGCCGCATTGTGCTAGCATTAGGGACGGATCCAGGATTGGATCCAAGATCGAGCTATAAAATTTCAAACCGGGCTATTACGTTAAAAAAAATAATTTTACACATAAAAAATTGATTTTTTACCAAAAAAATAAAAATAAAAAATACCTTAAAAAAAAACTCTTGGGCCTGGGGGGGGGCTACAGCCTAGCCCACCCCCCTTAAATCCGTCTCTGTCTAGCATAGTTTGAAAATAATGAAACTAGGTCCGTGAGATATTGCTCTACTTTTTATATAGTCGTAACCTCTTGCTCCCTTTCAACATCACACGATCTCTTATAAAAACAAAGCCAATTAAGATGAAAAAATTAGGACTAGACTAATCAAAATACCAATATTACGAAAATTGATATGCTCAATTAGAAAAATAAAATAAAAATTAATAAAAAAATGTCCAAATTTACACTCCCCATTCTTTAACGTGTGTTCAAAAGAAATATTAGATGATTCAAAGTTTTCAACTTTCGTCACCTAGGAAAGAATTTTGTTAAGTGGACGACCTCTACTTGTTCATTCATGTGCGTTTCTTTAACGCGCATCAAATCGAAACCTTACTTGAACCAAAGCTTCAATCTTCCATCACGAAAGAGAGAGATTTGCTAAGAAGACGACCTTTATATGGACAATATATCTCGACACATGAGACATGACCAACCAAGAAATCCTAGAACCCCTCGACAAACCCCCTAATCCACCGGAATTGAATTGCAGAGAACAATGGCATTAACAATAGACCCAACTGAATCTTTCAAACCATACACGCTCAAGCACACTCTCCCGGCCCACAAACATGCTATTTCCAGCGTCAAATTCTCGGACGATGGCCGCTTACTCGCCTCGTCCTCCGCCGACGAGACAGCCCGTATTTACTCCATTTCCGGTTCCTCCGCCATCGTCCGCCACGAATTAGAAGGCCACGAACAGGGCATTTCCGACCTTGCTTTCTCGTCCGATTCCCGCTATCTCGTCACTGCTGCGGATGACCGGACTATTCACCTCTGGGATGTCTCGACCGGAGCCCATATCAAGACTCTCATCGGACATACTAATTACGTGTTCTGTGTGAATTTTAATCCACAGTCGAATATGCTTGCTTCGGGTTCTTATGATGAGACTGTTCGCATTTGGGATATTAAGTCTGGGAAGTGTATAAAGGTGCTTCCTGCCCACTCTGACCCGGTGACTGCGGTTAATTTTAATCGGGATGGGACGCTGATTGTTTCGAGCAGCTACGATGGGCTTTGTAGAATTTGGGATGCTTCAACTGGACATTGCATGAAAACTTTGGTTGATGATGAGCATCCACCTGTTAGTTTCGTGAAGTTCTCTCCCAACGGAAAGTTTATTCTCGTCGGGACTCTGGATAATACTTTGGTAAATTCTTCTTCTTTAAGTTTCCTTGTTCTGAAGATTAATTTTTATCTAAGCTATTGAACTTCTGTATAATTCTTATTCCATTATTGCTTGCTTGAAGAAGTAAAAGGCTTTGTAGTCTGAGGATAATTGGGCTAAAGTTATTTGGGAAGAACTCAATATTTCTTGACAATGGGGTTGCTATGTGATGTTGTAGATATTAAGATATATTGCATGAAATGCGTTAGTTTTGCTTCTGTCAGGAATATGTTGTCTTCTTCATTGTTAATGTTTAGTTGTATTGGGATCTCAGTGTTCTCGAGTGGCAATTATTTTCAGTCTTAGAGTTGCAAGCAATATGCTTTGATACTTACCTGGACCAAGTCAAAGGGCATTCAAGAAGGCCCATGGCCTAGGTTGGCAGCCGTCATTGCACACGGAAGGGGTGCCTGCTTAAAGTTGGTCCAAGTATTCGAGCCTATGTCATAACTTGTGCTAGAGGGGGTCTGCTTTTGCGTAGCCCCTAAAGGAAAAATGAAAAATCCTTTGGTCACATTTATTATGTGTCAACTATTGTTTAGATTTTAACTGGAAACTTGTAATTATTTAGTTCCATTTACCCATAGCCACTGATTCTGAATAGAATGCTGGTTTTATCCAAAAGTCTAATAATAATAATAATAATAATAATAATTAAGAACTGACAATTTCATTTGGTCTTCACTCAATTTCGTGGTGTGGCAAGAGTGGATCAGTTTTACTGGTTAGAGGCTGGTCAAAGGTTTGTGCTTTTATAATATGTGTTCATATTATTGTTATTTAGATCTGGGTCATGCTTGATCCAAAAATTTCCTATCATTATAGGAACTTGGGTTTTTGTATTTTTTCCTGTCTTACTTGGTTCCTTGCTTTGAAGATTGTTGTGGTTCTAAGGACGGTATCATTGCTCATAATGACAAATTAAATGAAGTTACTGTTGTGATATGGTTTTTGTTTATAACTTGTCTTGCATCAGATAAAATATAATATTCTCCATTATTGACATTGAAAATTATATATTTGTGACAGGGTTCTCTCTTTTTTCTTGGTTATACTGTCTACTTCCCATACTAGTTCTTTTGAGTTATTCCAATAGTAGTTAACTATTATTGATGAATCATGGTTTCAAATGATAATCATGTTACATATTGGGGGTCTATATTGGTTATGATTTCGTGATGCTTGCTAACGCTAGTATTGGAAGAGATATAACTTGACATAACAAAAGAAAAGACCCTAAAACATTTGGGCTAGATCGTATAAAGAATTTAGTGTGTGTGTGTCTATATATTTATATATTATTTATTAGATTGATGGTATTTATATATCTTCCTTATTCGGCCTAAACCACCTCCAACCTGCATATTTTGTTATACGGTTGATCTTTTGAATGAACATTATCCACATTAATCCATCATAATACAATCTACCTATTACTGTGCACTATAATTTTATACTGAATACCTACATGGCCTAATTCGGTGTCTGTAGCCTTGAGTTATAATAATATCATGGATATAAGTTTAGCCATAAATAATCTATCCAATAAATTTAGTTTTCGAATTTTATAGCATAATCCTGCTTTTGTATTTTTAAAGAAATATATACTAAATATGATAATTTGTGATTGAGTTTGAGCCATGTTTTGAAAATCGGGTTTGTCTGAAAATCTGTCTGGTTAAGGATTTAAAACTCAAACTGCATATATAAAAACCAGTGCCTAACCCAGGCAACTGGCTGGTTCTACTGTGAACTGACCAACTAGTATACAGTCCACTTCCCATGCTAGTTCTAATGAGTTGTTCCAAATCCAATAGTGTTAAATTATATTGATTATGGTTTTGTGATGTTTACATACGGTTGTATTGGAAGAGATATAACTTGAAACGGCAAAAGACCCTTTGCACATTTGTATAGCATAAACCTGCAAATTCGTATTTCTAAACAAATAATATGATCATTCTCGATTGAGTTTGAGTTTTAATTGATGACTCAGATCCTACTTCTCTAAATGAGCCATACATGTTAATTCATATACTCTGCTGTTATATAATAAAATAATGGTATCCATAGGATTTAGACTTCGTAATAGAATTTTGCTTCTGCGTTTGCGTTCCTTATGTCCAAGGGGCTCTTATGTTACTTTGTAATTATAATTCCTATGTCATTGAAACTATTTTATCTCGGAACTCAGATTTCCTAGGTCTTCAAAACCATTTTAGCTTGGAACCCAAATAAAACACAATGATATTAGTTAACATCATGCATGACCATAAATACAACCATTTATTGCTCAACTAAAATGTCAAAAAATATTCTTAATTTCAGAAATACAATAATCCTAAAAATGAGTCCTTACACTTTTTAATTAATCTCAAGGCTAGAGATTTCAAAACACATACTAAATGAAAGATCTCCACCCTAGACATAATGAAATCTGCAGCAATGCTTAGCCTGTGCAATTTTTTATTTCCTCTTCTTTTGTGCCTATATTCCTCATTCTTTCGTAACATTTGACAAACTCTTATCTCAAGTTAGAAGCCTGATAAATGAGAAACCATGATCGTTTCTGTTTCATCTGTTTATGCATTATATCTTTCTAGCCTTTTCAACTGCGATATCCTTGGAAACAACACGTGAACCTTGAAAGGGGATTTGGGCTAGTAGGGATTCACGTAGTTCCACTAGCTTCAGTAACATCTCGCTTTTTTCACTTCATGCCATAACAATGTATTTGCTGCAATCACTTGCATATTTTTGATGATGTTAGATTGGGCAAAGACGTGATCTTGGGATTAGTTACACCCATAATTTCACTTTGTTACCTAAAGTGTCTCAACAATTTCTACTAATCACTTGGGGCTCCATGAGACAATTCCATGAATATGGAGAGGGGTCAAATTTGGTTTTGGTGCAAAAATGGCTTCACTGCTTATTGATTTTTAAGTTTTCCCTTTTCTAATCATCTTTGTAATTATTTAAAAAAATTACATATTACTGTCAACAATGAGGTCATCAGTTGATTGTAATCCATTGAACTGGAAGAACACTGAGCATGCATTTGACCACTTGACTAGAAATACTTTTTTGGTAAATCTTATATGCAAAGTATATTTTGAATAAAATATAGCAACTCTATTTATTCAGAATTATTGACTATTTTGGGGTTATATTGTGGACAACAGTCACAATGCTAGGGATTTACCTCTCTAATGGTTCGCGGCTGTTTAGGACTAGGGACTGGATAATATATAGACTAAAAACAGCAAAAGTAAAAATCACCATCTGCTCGGGAGAGGGCTTCAAAACCTTTTTATTTATAATTAAGACATTGCTGCTTCTACTATGGATTTATCTAAATTCATCTGCTAGAGAGAGGGGTGACACAATTGTTAGATTGTAGCTTCATGCTAGGAAAACATTGTTACTCGATGAAAATTGAAAGCTATTCTTTTTCTTTCCAATCTTGCTGGTTACTGCTCTGCAACTCAATTCTTGAATACTTGTTTTGCAGCGACTCTGGAACTACTCTACAGGCAAATTTCTGAAAACGTACTCAGGCCATGTCAACTCTAAGTACTGCATTTCTTCAGCATTTTCTATAACAAATGGCAAGTATATTGTAAGTGGTTCTGAGGATAACAATGTCTACTTGTGGGAGCTTCAGTCACGGAAAGTAGTTCAAAAGTTGGAAGGTCACACAGACACTGTTATATCAGTATCGTGTCACCCAACTGAGAATATGATTGCATCTGGTGCTCTTGGAAATGACAAGACGGTCAAGATTTGGACGCAGGACTGATTTTTGCAATTTTGGGAACGACATGGCTCTCTGGAGACCAGAATGGAAACCTTTTTTTTCCAAGTATCCGCGTTAGTATAGGTCTAAGCAATTGCATTGTGAATTCATCCCTTCTGTTACCCTCTTCCCAATTTAACATTATTCAGGACATTGCTGCTTTGGATTAATATTATTCTCCCTCGGCTAGTCTGTTTTGTAATGTAATTATTGTGGTGGATTCAGTTGGGGCTTGATGTTTGTCTTTGATGACTGACTAGGAAATTTTGTGCTAAGGTAAATTAGCTACATATAAGTTGTTTAGTGAGCATATGAACTGATATGGTGTTTTTTGGTCGTTTTCGCTCAGATTAAGGCAAAAAACATTTTCATGTTTTGCATCAAGGTGGAAAAAAGCGGCTGTTGATGATATTTGCCTTGTTGAATGCATGTTTGGCTAAGCTTAAAAAAGAAGTTAAAAGTAATAAGTTTATTTTGCTGGTAAGTATGCAAGTTAAAATGACTGAGGCGTTCCCTATGGGGTGTTGTTACTGTTGGTTAGGCTGGGCTACAATTAAGGGTCCATTTGGTAGAACTTTTAAGAAGTTAAAAGTTACTTTTATAATTAGAAAGTTAATTTTGAATATGTTTGAATAATTTTCTAGTTAAAAAGATCTTTCAGAATTTAAAAGCTTGTTTAAAGTTACTTCTTGAAAAAGTTCATAAACGAAAACAGAAGTCCTCCCAGATAGACAAATATAGTAGTCAAAATGGCATATTTTTGAGGATGTCATAGCCATAGTCTACGGATGTTTCTATCAAACCATAAAAAAATTCTCTTTATTCTCGCTTGGCCATCATCTCAGTTTTCAGTGTGTCAAAAATTCAATGCCATCTCCATTTTGGTACACCAGCAACTCCTCCTTTATTCAAGGAAAACTATGCAGACAGAAATCTTCCGGTTGCCATTTTATTTTCTTACAAAGGAAACCCCTTTCTCAATGCTTCCACCCAACTCTTTCTTTGCCTTCTCCAACCCAACTCTGTCAAAACAAAATCATGGAAAAATTATTATATTCCTCTTAAATTTAACCAAAAGATTCGCAATCGATAGCAAAGGATTTTAACCAGTTTTCGGCATACCTCTCATATTCGTTTAGAGGACCAAGTGGGTATATCTCTTCAACACCATTTCGACCAAGACGTACTCTTGAAGCAAAGAAAGGAAGTTCAGTAACCTGAAACTGAAATCTTCTTAGATATTTATGAACACCAGTAAATATAATGGATGTTTAATTGATACGTTAAATAAAGATCCTAAAGATAATATATGCAGTAACATGCCTGAGAAGAAACAAAAGCACATTGAACGACACTAGCATCTCCTCTCAAGGCACGCAAGCATGCATCCGCAAATTTGACAGCTGCATATGCCTGTAATGTTAATGCATGTTTCCCAATAAAGTTAGCCAGCTTTTCAAGATTAAAACCAAACATTCTTTGGCAGTTAAGGAAACAAACAAAATAAAAAATATACCATCGAAAGTGTTGCAGATCCCGCACCTGCTTTTGCCTGCAATAGACAGTAATTGCAATCAATAATCACTTATATGTAGAAGTGAAGCCTGGAATTTAGCCAACACTCTATATATCTAGTCAAAAGAAGATGAATAGCAGTGAATACCACTTATCAAGTTCTTCATGTTGTAAGAACAATTCTCCAAAGTTTTGAACTTTTGAAGGTCAAACAAAATGCTAAAATTTAGTTTTCATCCCAAATACTTTTTCTTCAGGTAAATTAGGTAATGCAGATGTTTCTACAGCATATAACACACTAACACAGTACTTCATGAACCTACGACTATATCACATTTTATTGCATTTCTATTTCGATGATATTGACACAGACTATTATAACGTAAAGTAATAAATTCAAACGCCTAGTAAATATCAATTTGAAGCAAAAAGAGAAGTAAATGTACCTAAAGAGCAAGCAGATAGTTGGAATGAGGGGGGTGATGCTTAAATTAACCTAAGGCAAAAATTAAGACAATATGTACATGTTCTACATGTTTGAAAATGGGAACCTGTTAGTAACCTGAATCACTGAGTAGATACAGATACTTAGGAGGCAAGTTTTTATTGTCTTATAGCCTCATAAGCACATCTTTAGTTTTCATCACCAAATTAATTTGCAGCATTTCTAAAGTACCATGCTTGTAAATCTGAAATAAACACTGACTACACAATAATCATCCTAGTATCAACATTGGGAAGAATTATTATTAAATTAAAAAGTCAGTGGGTCTAGTCACTGTTTTTCTCCCTCTAGCCACCCCAAACAAGTTTGTCTCACATTTTCATTTTTCCCAACATTACATTTGACTAAATCCACATCAAAGCAAGATGCAGGATACCCTTATAAGTCACCAGTGATTCCAGGAAGATGACGAAGAAAAAGGCTCATATACACCCATGTATTTCTAATCCTTACATAATTCATATTTCTAATTTCTTTCTTTTCCAAAATTGAGAAGACAAGGTAGAAAAAAAGAGAGGACAGAACGTACAATAATTTGGTAATGGTTAACTTGGTGAAATTTTGTCCTTCAATTATTAATTATCTTCATAAACATTGGTTTTTCTTCAGAGTTGGGAAGATTGTTACTGATTTATTAGTTGCAACTTTTGTTCATTGTTTTGAAAAGCCATTTGAGGCTTCTGCTTGAGGCTACTCTCATATGAGGTTTCTTAGGCCTTAGAGTTCCAATTTTGAGGCTTACGCCTCACCTTACTGAAGCTTACCCCTCAAGACTAAGCCAGAATGCAGCGAAGGTGTATGCTAGTTTGCCCTGCCTTTTGAAAGTTTTCCTAAGAGCCTAGAATGTATTGTGGGTCTTTTATTTTATTTGTTCCTTCCTTTGCATGAAAAGGAAGGGCAAGGAGAGAGCACAGATGCAAGTGGAGGATGATGATAAATAATTAGAAGAAATGCAGACTAGGAAAAGAATGCATTGATGATTATCCTAAAGGTCCTATAGTCCTATTAGTAGTGAAAAAATCCTGTTAGCAGCGATGAAATTGAGACTTACTAAGTTGTTTCCACTTAAAAGTAGTAGATTACAATTATATTGTCAAACCACTAATTTGAGAACTTATTGTTTGCAACTTATCTCTATTTTATGCTTGTTTAAAGTTAACCTTTTAATTTTGTAATTTTTTTTTATTATAGATTCAATATGGTTTGTGGTTTAATATAAGCATGCTTTTATATTCTAGATTCTTTTAAATTAAAATTAATTTGTTTCGAAGCTCATGCCTTGCCTCACAGAGATAAAAGCCCTCGAGGCTGACAGTCCTGTAGTAATGCTTTGTTGAGTCCACATAAAAAAATAAATAAGAAATATAAACTTGTTAAGATTATTACATATAAGAATACCTCCCACCTCAACAACTTCGGTTCCACCATTCTGAATACGAGAAGTCAGGTACTCAGTTTCTTCTTGGGTGAAAGAACATGGAGGTTTAACCTGCATCAGTCGAGACAATTTCTTTCAGAAAGTTACTGTGGATTTTAATGACAAGAAATGATATGTATACTTATTGTGCAAACATGTTATCTTGACCTGGGAGAGCAGAGGTAAAATAGTAACACCAGCATGGCCTCCTACAACAGGAACATCAACGTCCCTAGGATCAAGCCCCAAAACTTCAGCCTACAGACAATTATGGGATGGAGCAAATGTCAGGATATGAATCTAGACAATAAGGTATAGAAAGTGATTAAAAAAAAAAGGTGTATGGGTCCCAATCACATTGTTGATTATAACTTCATTAGGTGATGCCTAAATGCATATATACTTTAAAAGTGTTACTAAATTTATTCAGTCATGAAGTGTCCATGTCTATCAAGCTAAGTTTATGGTAGAAGAAAAAGGAAAGAAGAGGATGACAAACCCGGTGGTAGAGTCGGTGGGTCAGGAATAAGTTATAGATATAAACAGTCAAACAAGATTTTATGTTCCATTGATATGATAGAAGAGTGAAGAAACAATTAAAAAAGGCACTTGACCATAAAATATATTTCAACTAGACTACCCTGTATTATGTAATGCTAGCAGAAAGTTTTAGCAGCCAATTCATAAATGGATGGTATACTACCAAAACATTTTATTCTATGCCTATTTTTTTTGTATTCATCAAAATATTTTTTTCAAGCTTGGAACTTTTTTTTGTGTTTGTGTGAGCAAAATACAAAAATAAAAAGAAAAACTTGCAAGTCAATACAATAATAACCCTCAAAAAGGACGATAAATCAAGGAATTGTATGGACATAAATAGCTGAAACACACTTGCACAAGGTTAAAGACACATTTACTAAATTAAAATTAAAATTGACATAGATCAAAACGCTAAATTAAACAAATCTTACCACAAAAGTATTAGCTCTGACAACATCAAGCATCGTGACTCCCAAAAGTCGTCTTGGATCATAGGTGCCAGCCTTTTTGAATACCTCAGCCGCAATTGGCACTGTGGAGTTCACAGGATTACTAATTAGGTTAACAATGGCCTTTGGACAGCACTTTGAAATTCCTTCACATAGGGTCCTTACTATTCCTGCATTGATGTTGAAAAGATCGTCTCTTGTCATCCCAGGTTTCCTGGGCACGCCAGCAGGAATGATTACAAGGTCCATGCCAGTAAGTGCAACCTCCAATTGCTGCTGGCCCAGAAAACCACGTACCTGGACATCCAAATATATAGATAAATTTGCGAGCCAATTTTATGACCTATTTATCAATTGTATAGATAGGTATCAATATGACTTAATTTTTTACTTCTGACTAAAGAAACCTGTGGGAGAAGAAGGGAAATGTATTCCTGCTGAGTAGGTTTTACTTTCTTGCCAGTGATTCTACTAACTGGAGCCAAATCAATCAATTGTTTTTCTCCTAATTATAATCCACTCCATACAAGTTTTAGCATCCATGTGTACTTCTTTCTCAACTCTTACTTTTTTGGTGACATTTAGGGGATATATCAAAAATATATGTACGTCAACACACTACTCACAGCATTGATACTTATTTCAAACAATCCCCTTTAATAATTGGAACTATGGTCAAGTGGTCCCTTTGAAAGCTTAAGTTTTGAGATCTCATGCAAGAAAGTTAAAAGAAATATGTTAGATTTGAAATTGGACTTAGATTTTTTCAATCCCTTGGATTTTGATGATTACAAACAAGTAAATCTTCTTACTGATAAGTTTGTCTAGAGTTGTGGAAGAATACTAAGTCATGCGAGCACCTTTATATTAGTCATCAACATTGAGACTGCAACTTCAGATTTGAAACAGATGTCCCGATATAGACATACTTTCATAACTAGACAACTGAGAACAAGTGTTTCAATAAGAGTTAAAGCCTAAGAACAAGGAGAAATAGATGTTCGAAACTTAGATGGTCAAAGGCAGCACAACAAGAATACACTTTGACATGTGGAACCACACGAAGAATACACTTTCAGATTGCTGACGCGGTGATGTCCAGAAGATGAATAGGGCAGATCAAGCTGAACACAAACATCAAATACCAGTATGCAAGGGAATCAGAAGCCATAGAGGGTAGCATACATCTAAATGGCCTTGAATGTCAAATATAATATGCTGGAAATATGTGCAACTAATTCCGGAAACATACAGATGCTCAGAATATCATACAAGACCTAATGACACTAGCTGGTGACAATATCGTAGTAGAACAAGGTATTTATGAAGATAACATTATTAAAAGAAAGGACGTCCAAGAAATACAATCAAGCTAAGGTCACTGAGATCAGAAGGACAGAAGCTCATACAATATTTGAAATTTGAAATCCTTAAATCATGGATAGCGGAATAATAGTAAGAACAATCACGTTGGAAATAACTGATGATGAAAGAAGAAAAGCTTCAAAAGGAAGAAATTGTGTGTAAGCCCTTGAAAGATTATAATCAGGCAATGCACCGAGGAAATTCTAAAATACTCAGAAGGATTATTGGATTAAATCCTTTGCTTCTTTGACTCTTTCACAAGGACACATTTATTCTCTTCAACATCATCAGCAACTATCCAAGTCAAGTTGCCACTGGAGCTGTAGGAACACACTTGGGATTGATGTTCTGACATAAGCGGGAAATTTTAAAATTTGTAGGTTCATGTTCATTGCTTTCTAGTGCTATTCAACAAAGTACATGGAAGTTAATTAATTTTAATTTTAAAGGGAAAAAAAAATTAGTTCTTTCCTCCTTCCTTTTCCTTTCACATTTTTCTAGAACTTAGGATCAAAAAACAGCCCTAAACATCATATGTCCAGACATAGTTCCTCTAAACAAGATATACCACCAGTATTTCAATGTACAACAAAAGATGGAAAAGAAAGGTTATTTCCATATCCAAACCAGCACATCTATCCCCTTAAAAAATAGAGAGAAAAAATGAAATACTGGAGATAAATGAACAAACATCTACTCTAATCACAACTTCTCTTTCTATAGAATCAATTGAAGATTCCATGTTAACGGAAAGCTGTGATACAAATGATACTGAATAAACGGACAATTAATAGAATATCAGTTAATGTATTGAAATTAAGAATGATAAAAAATGAATTACCACGGCACCAGTGTCCATGTGGCTGATATCTGCAGTCACCCCTGGAGTGTTTATTACATCATAAAGATGTAGCACAGAAACCAATGGATTCATCTTCATAAGCATTGCTAAAGGCTGGCCTATGCCTCCTGCTGCACCCAATATTGCCACCTTGAATCCTGGTGATCCCCCTTTTGCCCTGCAGTTTTCCTGTCTAAAATTCGAACTCCCCTCTGTCTTTAAGCCCACATTTCATAAACCCACAACAAAAACAGTTTGTTCTAATTAATAAAATGATCAAAGAAAAGCACAAGCTTTTTCCAAATTCAAGCAAACAAACTATTGAAAATACACAAGGATCGTTCAAGACACTCTCTAATTAGAATGAGCATGATCACTTTTTTTAATCCCCAAGTTGCTTATGAGAACCAGTGATCGCTAAATTTTCAGTAAAAAAATTGTCTTGATCATCAAATTTCATTTGTTTCAAGTTGATCATTTAGATTACACTTCATTAAAATTGGTGAATTCTCATTTGTAACAAATTGTGGGAAAGAGAAGAGAATTTAACGGCGAATACTGAAATTTTGCCAGTATTTCTGACCCCTGTTGTTTTAACCCCAAACAAAACTACAATGAAAAACGAAAAACCTTCAGAATTTTAGAAACTACTCAATAATATCAAATTGAAGTCAAATGCCGTTGAGAGTTGATTATCCCAGTTAGAAATCAAACAAAATAAATTGACCAGAAAAAAGGAACAATAAGTGGGAAATTAGAAAGCACCTGCAGATTATTCATGGAGGGGTTGAGATGAGCTAATAATCTAGCAATCCGTTGATTAACATCTGCAATTGCCTGCATTTTTTAACTTTAGATAATCGATTTTGCTACTGAGAAAACAATATAGGCGAATTTCTAAATCTGTGTCAAGAATTGGCTTTGTTGAATTTCGATGTTGGGTTCGAGAATAAATAGAACGAAAAATGACGCAAGAGCTAGTTGAGATGAGTGCAGTTGAATTTGTTTCGATGATGACTTATCCTTTGCACATTTCCCGGTAGGAGTGGACATTTCTTCTCTGAACAATTTATAATTGGTCGGTTCCATTTTGTATCTTCTAAAAAACGATTTAATTTTGGGACAAATTATTAAGAGCCAATTGATTCCGATATATGAGAACCGTAGGAACCGAACGAATCTCATAGGATTTTTTATTTTTTTGATAAAATATATGACTCAATTTCTAATCACTTTTATTGAAAATTATCGGATTCCTTCTTTATTTTAGACTCCAACGCTTTCCTTATTCTCTTGATTTTTTTTATTCTCTCTTCTTATAATTCTTTGATTAATTGATTCTCATGTCAAATTAGAATATTGAGTAAATTTATACATAAATAAATTTACTTACAACATATAATTTCATTTCTAATATGCGAATTTTTTATTTTGCTTTCAGTTTATATAAGTTGATGATTGCTTGATGATAGTAATTCATATTATTTGAATATTGTTTTTAAATTTGTATATTTAGTTTTCTTTTAATCTTTGAATATTATGTTCGGTTCTCCTATATTTTATTAAAAGTATTACGTTGGTAGTATCTTTAGATTTTTAGTAGTAAACATTTTATTTTGACATTTTTAATGTAAAAAATTTGACCGGTTTAGCTATGGAACCAATGGTTCCATTTTTAAAATTTCCATTGATTAATTTAGTTCTCCTTGGAACCGGGTTGCGTCCACTCGTATTTCTAAGCCATCTTTTTCCCATAAAATAATTTATTTATTTATTTTTACCACAAATATTATTATATGAACATTTTTTTTAACTATCTATATTTATCCTTTTTTTTTTTTTAAATAACACCATAGGGACAAAACAATCTAAACAAGTAGAACCATAAAAGTCAAAACTATACAAACCATCACCAACTACAACTTCCTTTCTCAAATAAGCCATCCCATCATTATCAGTTTGAATTTGGCATGTTAAGAATTGGAATCACAACTTTAATAAACCAATGAATTAAATACGTACCTGCGGAAGCAATCAATATGAATTATGGATGTAATATATAATAGAGGCTGGATCTTCCCCTCCTTGCTCCTCACAAAATTGAAAGCTATCAATGGGACAAACTTAAACGATATGAAGAGGAGAAGGGACCTAGCCTTTATATAGGAATCAAATAGGTCTCCCATTAAGACTCAACAGGCCCTTATTAGGGTTTTTATTCCGGCCCACATACTTAAAATTACCACATTATTTAATTTCAACCCGTAAGGTGTAAAGGCCCAATTGATCACATAATTAATTTGGCCCAATAACAAAACACAATGAGCTATATGTCTAACCCGTAAAATTCACAATCGAATGTGAAACCCACATATGGAATAATTCCAACATTCTCCCACTTGGGCAAACATTCGATTATTAAAACAAAAGTTTTAACACCAGGGCTAGACAACATAGGTGGCCACAAAAGTATAGCTCCAATATAACACCTTACGTAACATGATCCGATCCAATAAGAATATTAACACCGAACATGGAAGTCAATACACCAATTAAGCGATGTAAGACCATTCCACAATTACAAATGTTAACATCCTTATCGACATGGATCCCCATCCTCCAACCAATGTGGTAGTATGTTGTATGAACTTAGCACCAAAATGTGATCAAGAACTGTGCTAATTCATATCGGTCCTCATAATGCTTCAAATCAAAATGAAGCCATATGTCTCCAAAAGAGACTCATCTTATGTCTTTATCCATTATATCTCGAGATTACAATAATATCATAATAAAAGACAAAAGTCAAAATGTATGCTCAAAATAATTTATGGATAGGAGAAAATATTTTATTATCAGAAGAGGCTGTACCCGAAAATATATGGGTAGTATACGTATCTCATGCAGAGATCAAACCCGAAACATAGTTCATAAATAACTCCCACTATCCAAAAGATCAAATATTTCCACAATGCCCATATTAGTAACATATGCCTTAAAGACTTTTGGAGCGAATCCTTTAGTTAAAAGATCTGCAATCATTTCCTCTGTATTGATATATTTTATTTTCGTCTGCCCTTACTTGACTTTGTCTCTAACCATCAAATATTTGATGTCAATATATTTTAACCAATTAGCACTTTATTATTCTTTGAAAAGAACCCTACTGCACTGTTATCACAGTAGATAGTGATTGGTCTTGAGATGGAATCAACAACTTTTAAATCAGAGATGATGTTTCTTAACCAAACAGCTTGGATTGTGACTTCATAACATGCCACAAATTCAGGTTGCATAGTACTAGATGCCACTAGAATCTGTTTAGCACTTCTCCAAGAGATATCACCATCAGCTAATGTGAAAATACAACATGAGGTTGATTTCAAATCATCTTGACATCCAGTAAAATCAAAATCTGAATATCCTACCACCTCAAGATGATTTGGATGCTGGAATGTTAGCATACAGCATTCAATTTTCTTTAAGTATCTCATAATTTTCTTTGCTGTTTTTCAATGCTCTTGTCCTGGATTCGACTAAAACCTACTAAGGATACTTACTACGTATGCAATAACACGTCTACTGCAAATTTGAGCATACATCAAATTCCACAGCACTAGCATATGGAATCGTTTTCATAGATTCCCTTTTTAGCTCATTCCTTGGACATTTAGTTTTGTTAAACTTATCACCTTTTATGATATATACATTAACAGGTGCACAATTTTCTATATTGAATACTTCTAGAACATATAGTATATAAGTCTTTTAAGAAAGTCCCAGCAAGTCACGATTTCTATCATGATGTATTTCAATGCCAAGCACATAAGAAGCATCTCCAAGATCTTTCATCTTAAAATTAGCAGATAACATTTTCTTAGTCTCATGAAGTAATCCCAAGTTACTGCTAGCAAGCAAGATGTCATCGACATATAAGACAGGAAAAATAAAATTTCTCCCACTGGTTTTGAGATAGATACATTGATCAATACTATTTTCAACAAAACCAAGAGAGGTCACAACCTCGTCAAACTTCAGAGAATACTATCTAGATGCTTGCTTGAGGCTATATGATGATTTATTTAATTTGCATACCAAATGTTCTTTTCCTTTTACAACAAAACCTTCAGATTGTTTCATGTAGACTATTTCAGAAAAATCTCCATTCAAAAAAAATGTTGTCCTAACCTCCATTTGACGAAACTCCAAACTATAGTGTACTACAAGTGCCTTAATAATTCGAAAAGAATCTTTGAACGAGACATGTAAGAATGTTTCAACATAATCAATGCCTTATCACTGAGTGAAACCTTTTACACCCAATTTTGCCTTCTTTCGTTCAACATTTTGTTTTGATTCTAATTTACTTTTGAAAATTCACTTATCGTCTATAACTTTAGCATATGGAGGAAATTCGACAAGTTCCCAAACTTTATTCTCTTTCCATATAATCCTTTTCATCTGCCTCAGAACTTATCAATGTTTGATTATAAGTTATAGAATCAATAATATGCCCAATATGTAAATCATTTTCCAATGTAATTATTGAGCAATGCATATCTCCTTTTCCTTTATGATCTCCTAATTTGTGCTCAAATATTGTCTAAACCATTGTTGAAGAATTGGAAATTCCTCTTGGTTTCTTGGTTCTTCATTAACAACTTCACCTGGCTGAGAGTAAACTTTTCCCTGTATAACAGGAACTAGAATGACAACTTGATTTGGTTCAACAAAATTTTCATAGATCTCCCACTATTTCCAGAATTATTCTCCAGAAATTCTGCAGTAATGGACTCATCATATCTACTATAATATTCACCACCTCGATCAGATCTTACAACTTTAATGCTTTTTCAATGTTTTTTTTCTCTAATTATAGTTTGAAACTCTTGAATTTCTCAAGTTCATGAGATTTATCATTGATCAGGTAAACATATACATATCGGGAGAGATCATCAATAAAGGTTATGAAATATCTATTCCCACATATGGTAGATGTCAAAGGTTCACTAATGTCCGTATGTATCATGTCCAAAAATTTCATTACTCTTAGTTGAACCTTTCCTTGTAAACTTAGTTAATTTTCCTCTTATATAATCCACACAAGTGTTAAAATAAGAGAAGTCTAAAGAGGGAAGAAACTCAACTTTTATCAAACAAAATTCCATTCTATCCTTAGAAATATGACTCAAACGCTTATGTGATAGCATAGAGGACGGTTCACAGATTAAAGTCCTTTTCTTTGATACATTAGTAACATAAGAAACTTCACCAAAATAGCTAAAGACAGTTTGAATAATCCATCACATAAAAATCTATTTTCCAATCAAATGGGAATCATAAAATAACTCAACCTTTACATTACCAAAATTAAAGGTAAAACACTCAAGCATCAAGTTTTGATATAGAAATTAAATTCCGTCTCATTGTCGGCACAAAACTCTATTTTCCAAATTATGGGTAAAATCGGACTCCAAAAACAACTTTACCACTCCTATGAATTCAACATTCACTTGAATTCTATTTCCAGTGTTTAAGCTTACTTTATTCTCACTTGACCTCTGTTTGCTTATGATCCCTTGTAAGGAATTCAGAACATAAATACTAGCTCTGGAGTCTAATCACCAAGAATTCAAAGACGCATCTTCAAATGAAGACTCAAATCAAACTAAGGCCGATGGGATTTTAAGAGCATTTAGCTCAGATGATATATTTATCATCTTCATAATGTGTTCCCTAACACCATTTGTGCCATCATATCTCATGCTCATCAATTTATCCATCAAATTCTAGTTTCGACTTTATCAGACTCAATAAATTTTTCTCATATGGCATCCATAAAACTTTTGATATTTTCAATATCAGGGATGGCACCCATAATGGAATCGAATATGGAGCGCTTAATAGTTTTCAAACAGGGTTTGTTTGCCCTTTTCCACCTTTCATACTCGCCTATATATTCAATAGTGCTTTTATCTGTGGGTTTTACAAGCTTTTTCTCCATCGCGAAATCCAAGCCCAAAAGACCAAGTGCTATTTCTACATCTCTTTTCCATCTCACATAAATATTTCTAGTCAAGGTTTCAATGGCAGACAATTGATTGGAAAAAGACGAGGCATTATTAAATGTGGAAACATAAAATATCGTATTTTAATATCATCCAAACATAATGCATGCAGTCAAATGCATGATAAAATTTCCAACATATTAATATGGGCTATCAATTGGACAATCCGTAATTAAATCAAAAGCATATGAATTTTATTACGGTAAAAGCCTTGGTGCATCATCATAAAGTCACCTTTGGGCCGACAATACAACATGCTATAAGGTACTCTTAAAACACACAATATTGCTAGTTAACAGAATTTTATTGATTTTCGAAACCACCAACACCTTTGGGCCGAAGGAGATTTTTAGATCAAGATAAGTCCGTTAATCACCGTATGCCATATTCCAGTAATTATCACATATAATAACACCTTTGGGCAAGAAATTATATGCAATAAATCAATTTTTTTTTTGTCACATATGATAACACCTTTGGGCAAGATATCATACGCAATAAATCAAAATTGCCGCGCAAAAAGTGTATATTTTGTTTAAGAGAAAAATCGAACAATTAATAATGAGTGTGCCACTTTGGCAGCTACCACCCATTTTTATTTCAAAATATTTCTCTCTCAGTGGGATAAAAAAAAATCGTCTCAAAACCCACGAAAAAAACTTCAATCACAAAACAATGATTATGCCACAATTATAATCATTAATCAATAAACGGCAAAAATTCATAAGTGATTGAAAGATGAATTAGGTAACAAATTTTGATATGTGAAAAGCGAAATTTAAATAAACAAATAATAATAACAATCGAATTAACCATTTTGATGAGAATATAAAAGTCGCCAATTATTATTATTATTTAATATATTTTGTTTCAGAGAGAGAACGAATAAATAACAATGAGTGTGCCACTTTGGTAGCTAACACCCATTTTTATTTCAAAATATTTCTCTCAGTGAAAAATAAGGATTGTTTCATAATTCATCAAAAATTCAATCACGAAATCAAACTAGTGTGTTATCTTAAAATCAAACTCCTACAATAACTCCATGAGACCTTCCCAAAAATCCCATAAATACCACAAGCAGGGTCGGCCTTGAGAATTTAGAGGCCCTAGGTCGTTTAATTATTATGGGGCCCCTCAACACAAAATTTATTTTACAAGTCTAACAATATGTAAATATTCGAATAATTAACACTTTTATATTAGAAAGAAAACTTCATACAATTCGAAAGATAGAATAATAAAATAAAACTTCTTTCACAACCCGTAAGATTAGGCTAGCATAAGATTTAACCTTCTCACATTTTGAGATATAAAATTAGTAATCAAACTACTAACATCAAGTTTGTCTAACATATTTTTTTCAATAGAAATCATAGCTAATCCATTCAATCGCTCTTGTGACATGGATGATCGAAGATAAGATTTAATCAACTTCAACTTTGAAAAACTTTTTTCGGCAAAGGCAACTGTGACAGGAATAGTCAATAATACTCTATAAGCAATCCAGGCATTTGCATAACAACAGTTCATTTTCTTAATGTAATCCAATACATTAATTGCTCCAAAAATGTTTGCAGATATCGCTTCCCTTAAAACTTTCAACTCAGAAATAATTTTATTCCATCAATATCAGAAATCGTATTATGCTTCAAGTAATTTTCAAGTTTAATGCAAGAACACTTCAAAACATCATCATCAATAGATTTAAGTCTTTTCAAATCAAACAAAAATCCAAAAATATCATCATATTTCTGAAATTACTCAAATCTATTCTGAAGTGATGATAGAGCTTGATCCACTATATATATGAAATAACTGATCTTAAAAGATTCTTCAGCTGTTTGTGTTATTTCTTCAGAAGAAATCTCATCAAACTGTTTTTTTCTATGTATAACCCGTTTTTCACGAAATATCGGTTCAATTTCTAATTCACTTGCAATCTCTTTAGCATCAACCATGGCCGATTCAAAACCAGATTCTCTATAACTTTTGAAAAATGAAATGTGGCCTTTTAAATGGTCTATAACAACATCAATATGCAAGTCTTCTGCTTGCAATTGTTTGCTTACTCTGTTAACATTATTTAACACTTCATACCAAATAATCATTCCAAGTAAGAATTCAAAATTGTCAATTTCATATGTTGCCAAACACTCCGCCTCACTTTTTGTCTTAGGATCATCAACATTTGCTAATTGAAGTAACGCTTTTTTTTATCTACGGAGCTTGAAATCTTATCGCTCTAACACTTTCAATATGGCTTTCCCAACGAGTTTGTGACAAAGGCTTAATGGTAAGACCAGTTACATTCTTTTTGAAAACTTTCCATCGTTTAGTAGATGAAGAAAATAGAGTATATATACGTTGCATCACCCCAAAGAAAGATTTAGCTTTTGAACAACAAGTGGCCATATCACAAAGTGCAAGACTAAGACTATGACATCCACAAGGAATGTAGAATGCTCTAGGATTTAGTTGTAATAGTCTACTTTGAACTCCTTTATGTTGTCCTTTCATGTTAGCACCATTATCATAGCCTTGACCCCTTACATTATCAATATCAAGTTCTAGATTATTCAAAGCATCCACCAATTCCTCAAAAAGCTCCTTACTTGATGTATCATCAACTAATAAAAACCCTAAAAATAATTCTTCAATCTTCACTGGACTTGTCGAAATATCTACACACCTCAATATCATTGACATTTGTTCTTCGTGACTTGTATCTAGAGTGCAATCAAGTATAACAAAAAAGTATTTAGAAATTTTGAGTTTCTCAATGATTATTTTTTTTTATCTCGCCCGCTAGCATAAGTATCAACTCATTCTGAATTTTGTGTCCTAGATAATGATAATGAATCTCTTTACTTTTTATTCAACGAATATGCTCTTTCATTACGGGGTCGAACTCAGCAATCATTTGAATTATGCTTAAAAAGATACCATTATTTTCTTGATATATCTTCTCATTGTCTCCACGAAATGCTAAATTATTTTCAGTAAGAGTTTTCACCACAGATATTATTCTCAATAATACTTGTCTCCAATGTTCTCTATCTCTATTGATTTGTTCTTGCACACTTTTGTCAATTGTCTTAGTCTTTTCAAATCTTAATTTCATTTCTATCCATTTATTCATGTTATTGATGTGGTCACAACTTGCTTCATGCATTTTAAGTTTTTCACCAACATTTTTCCAATCATTTACTCCATCATGTGCCAATTGGGTTCTGATCCCATCATTCTTAAATAGCTTACAACAAAAGCAAAATACTTTATCCAAACTTTTTGAATATATCAACCATTTTCTATCATATTTCTCTCCATTAGGTAATTGTCGAACGTAATGTGTAGATGAGAAGTGTCGATTTGCTCCATCTTTTGGAAAAGTCAGATCATTTTCTCTTACAGGACCTTTCATTACAATTAAATCTCTTAAATTTGTATTCATATTTCCCCAATTTGCTGGGTCAACAAGGTCAAGAGAAAATGGTTCATTATCTTTGTCAATAGATACCTCTTCATTCATCACACAATGTCCTTCATCAATTGTATTATTATTGTTGTCATTCTCATTTAACACTTCTTCAGCAGCTATGTCATCGTTGTGTGTTCGTTTACTACTACCAAAAAACTTATCAAGTGCTCCCTCTTGAGATTTAATCAACTTTTCAATCTTTTCCTTCCTTTTTCTTTTGGCACATCCAGATTTAAATTTTCTCGTAGACATAATAACAAGTAAAGAGCGATAAAACCTGATTGATGAGTCTCAAAATGAAAGGATTCAGAAATTGGCGGTCGCAGTGGTGATTGAAGTAGACAATGCGGCTGTAAGATGATATGGAACATAATTAGAGCACTTTTATTCAAAAAATATGAAACATAATTAGAGCAATTTTATCCAAATTAAATTCAAAGAAAAAAGACATAAGATGGTAAGAAAATCAACTAAATAACATAATTATATCTTCTCCATTTTTGTTAAATTCTACTTGCAATTTATGTTTAGTAGCGAGCATAGCTTGTACATTTCGTTTTTTGCTAGATAGAAGGAAGTAACAAAATAAGTTTTAGGGACATGATAAAAGGCATACATGATCTCATATCAAAACCATATAATAGGAATTATAAAAATAGAACACATTCCCAAGACTCATTCCCATGAAATACCTTACGGTTGCTTTTTATGAAATTATTTAAGGATTATGTAATTCTTGCATCAGTTTGCCCTCTGAATTTCCCAACATGAGCCAGTTTACTTGTCTTTTAATAATTTCTCCTTTTTTAAGTTGATATTTTTGTATTCCTAATATTTTCATTTAGAAGCAACAAGCCCCAAAATGAAAACACTACAAATCTTACGTACCAGGAGTGCACTAAATTGTATATGCCTCAAATTATTATCAGGAGTCAATGTCCTATGAAGTGCACAAAAAATGATTATTAGAGTTCTTTTTTCTATTCTAAGTTCTGATTCTGAATATTAGAAACTATGTATTTCAACCTTACATTTTTACCAAGTTTCTCCATTTCTGTACCGCTTCATTTGTCCAAAAATTTAGTAGTTTTTACAACCAGAAATCTCATCTCAATTATAATCTTTTAATTCAATAAGTCTCTTTCTTTATATCTTTACTTTCTGGAAGAACCGAGCAGAATATCAATACAATGGTGAACACCAAAGCCCAATCGAAGAAGCCGCAAAAAACGCGGAATAGACTTCAAAATATTTAATGACAATACTGTTTCTTCTTCCCATTAGTATCTGTAAACATCCCAAAATAGAACTTTCCGGCTATTTCACAGGTCAGTAACCATAGAACTAAACAAAACTTCATCAATACAAAATAAATGTCTCTCAACTAATCTTATGACGGCAGAAAAACTAAACCCATTCCTCAAAAATTTGTAAACAAATCAATTCAAATAATAAAACAATACGAGACAAAAGTTAGTTTATTAGTTCAGAGACATAAACGAGCATGTTGATAAATAAAAAAGGATGACCTCTTGCCGGAGACAGGTCTTCGTGAACCAGAATTAGCCGCTGAATTTCCGTTAAGCCTCTCCTTAATCGACCTACTAGCCTGGCCGCCTGGGCCTCCGCCTCCTGAGAGAAGTTAGCTTGTGGTGGTCTGGTGGAGAAGAGAAGACGAAGAAGAAAACGGTGAAAAAATGATTTATGGAGAAAGGCGATTCGTTTTCTTGTGCCATATTTTATTTTTTTTATTTTTTTTATCCTTAACAGATGAGCCCCCCTACAATTTGAGGCCCAAGGCAGTGGCCTCAGTTGCCTTGGGCCAGGGCCGGGTCTGACCACAAGGGACACTTACGAGATAAAATCCAAGATGCCTCCAGCAATGAATCACACTCAATGTCAATATTATATATACTTCTAACTCACAGTATATCTTTAAACCTTGTTTCATTATTAGGAGCTTCGCCAGTGAAAATATCTAATATACTAAACCTAAATATTGGACACTAATTTGTACAAGTTCAGGAAACTTTCAAGGCTGACAAGCTATATTTAGAAATTTCAGGGACCTCATTTTGTAGGATTTTGAAACCTCAATGACTAATCTAATCATTCCAAAAAATTCTGGCGCATAATTGTACAATTCAAAAATTGAAGGGATAATTCATATGATGAGATGTGGATAAAGTCTTGTTTGGCATCATTAACTATTTCAAGAGCATTCAATTAAAATAGGACCTAACTTCCACGAGGATGTGGAAGATCTAGTGCCTAGTTTTTAGGGGGTTCCAAAAATAATTAGAGACGAACATATTCGTAAGTGTATCTTCCAAAATGAACCAAGACACCCAACGATTAAGGGAACAAATTCAGAGAAACATGGAATTTGAGAATTTTACAATAAATGTCAAAATGAATTCACCATCAGTACACGTTCAAGTATCGACGTAAAGCAATCGAGAAGCAGCATGGGTGGACCCACGTGGTGTCATGTGGTCTGGGGTCAAATGACCCCACGGTTCTTTTTTTTTTTTGTTTTTTTTGGTTTTTAAAATTTGTAGTCGTTTACTTCATGGCTTATTTTGACGCGCTCATTACAGAATGTCAGACAAAGTCAAAATATTACATTATTAATACCATTTCGAAGCGCACAGATCATAGTTTTCACTTATTGATGGCTCGTGAAACGACCATCAACAACAAAAGTTACGACGCATCAAAATAAGTCATTCCAAAGTAGTATTTTGAAAATTTTGGTAATATGCTAACTTTAAAAATTCGTCAACAATCATACTCTATCTTGATTCACAAATCGCCTACATCACTTAGAATATCATTTCGAGAACTACATCATATTCATATGGAATGGTCCAAACGGATATCGAAAATGATTAAACGTGCGTCAAACATTCGTCTCTAAAAAAGATATCCGACTTGTCTTTCCTTTAAATTTTTTAATTATTTCATTAATGTTTATTATTTTTGCACAACAAATTTCTCAATATAATTTACATCATTTTATTAGTAAATTTTACATGGAGTATGACGTAAAAAATTTAGGATCGTTATAGATTAAATATAATTTAAATTACTATCGAGTCAAATTTGAATTTCATTTATTTCCAATTTGAATTTTATTTCAATTCATTTACTTCATACATTTAACTTGATTTACTCCGTCGACTCAGCATTTGTCAACGAGGTGATACACAGAACTATACAAGTAGCAAAATCTATTTGACAATATTGATAATGTTATAATTATATGACGTTTTCAAAGTATCAAGACGCTTAGACTACAATTGTAGTAGTATATTGACTTATTTTTATTATTATGCTATCTAAAAAAATTGCATTTAATTTATGATCCCACGGTACAAAAGGTCTGGGTCACCCTTGAGAATAAGTAGCAGTATACTAGATTATTAGTTCTTCCAGACATGATGTGAGTTCGGGGCAGGTGCATCACCTTTTTATCCAAGATATGACTATTATCATACAATGATTCAGTATGTTGAGATAGTAACTCTACAAGATCACCATCGAGTAGCGATTTCAAACTCGATGATGATTATACTAAATTGCTTATTGCACGCTAATAAGTAGGATTGTATGTATTTATTTGTTCATAAAATTTACGTTTATTTGTTCATCATCTTTACGTCGTACTTCATGTCTACAAAGTGATAAATTTTGTTTTTCATTTTTAAAATATACAAATTTTTTAGGCTTGACTTAGGGCAACTCCGATGCTAAATTGCACCATTTTTTGGTACAAAATTGCTCCAATGTAACACAAAACTTTGCACCATTTTGGTTCAAAATGGTGCAAAGTGAATAGTGTTGCATTATATTTGGTGCAACACTATTTATTACACCATTTTTGCCCCAAATGGTGCAATGTTCGTTTTGCCTTTATTTTTCCTTTTTCAAAGATAATGATTAAGGTTATTTATGTCATTTTCGTTCTATAATGATGAAGATGATAATAATAATAATTAATTAATTACACTATTAATCATATTATTAAAGTTTATTATTTTTAATAATATAATCAATAATAATTAACGTAATTGTTAATTTAACGTAAAGTTTATAATTTTTGTAAATTTAGTGTAATTGTTTATCATAAATTAATAATATAATCAATTACTTTTGTTAATTTAACATAATATATAAAACACGTGAATAATTTAGTAATTCATATATTTGTTAATTTAACGAAGTTATGATTTAGTAATTTATATAATTATAAATAAATAAATAATTTTTTTAAAATAAATACATTGACAAAAATCTAAAGAATGAATAAAATAATAAAGCATTGTTCATTTGGTGTAATTTTTGATGTAATGATTGGAGAAGAATTTTGATTTGGTGCAAAATAGTGCAAATTTTTGTACAGTGCTGGAGATAGCCTTAGCCCCTATGTACTTTTTTACTTTCATTATTAATAAAATAGATCACCTAGCGTGATTGAAATATATTTTTAAAAAAAGGTGCAAAACATAAAATATTAATCATCTTCATCATTTTCGTTCTATAATGATGAAGGTGATAATAATAATAATAATAATTAATTAATTACACTGTTAATCATATTATTAAAGTTTATTATTTTTAATAATATAATCAATAATAATTAACGTAATTGTTAATTTAACGTAAAGTTTATAATTTTTGTAAATTTAGTGTAATTGTTTATCATAAATTAATAATATAATCAATTACTTTTGTTAATTCAACATAATATACAAAACACGTGAATAATTTAGTAATTAATATATTTGTTAATTTAACGAAGTTATGATTTAGTAATTTATATAATTATAAATAAATAAATATTTTTTTTAAATAAATACATTGACAAAAATCTAAAGAATGAATAAAATAATAAAGCACTGTTCATTTGGTGTAATTTTTGGTATAATGATTGGAGAAGAATTTTGATTTGGTGCAAAATAGTGCAAATTTTTGTACAGTGCTGGAGATAGCCTTAGCCCCTATGTACTTTTTTACTTTCATTATTAATAAAATAGATCACCTAGCGTGATTGAAATATATTTTTAAAAAAAGGTGCAAAACATAAAATATTACGTTTGATTCCCATTTTTTCCAAAATGCACTTCTCTCTCTCTCTCTCTCTCTCTCTCTCTCTCTCTCTCTCTTTAATCATACATTTTTCATTAAAATAATATTACATGTAAATAAAAAATTCATTATTTTTTAACAACACATTTTACATCAATCTACTATTATATAATGCATTTTTTTCATAAAATTGGGGTTCAAACTCCCACTAACAATGCTTTTATGTCCTACTTCTTCCCTTTAAAGAGATTTCAATTTATGGCCTCAGATTTTTTAAGGGAGGAAATACCTCTAGATGATCATTGCAAATTGTCATTTTCGCTAAATGGCCACTTTTCCATTAATATTGTGAAAATTGACCACTTTAATTGGGTATTTATTTGAATATGATTTTTCGATAAGTGGTTATATGTTAAGTATTTTTTTCAAGAGTATAAAAAGTAGAGAAAAGTTAAGAAAATGTGAAAGATGATTTTTCAAAACAATATCCAATTATTATTTTTCTCTCTTCTTCCCTCTTCCTAATTTCTTTTAGAGGAAAAATATACTTTAACCTTCTAATATTGTTGACAATTCAAGTCTTTTATGATAGTTCGTTTATTATTTGTGATAGTTAAAAATGTCTAGCACATTCCCAAACGATTGAGAAAACTTTCCTCTTATGTGAACACATGCATGATGTTAGTCTTTCAAAAAAGTTTGTATTCATGACATTTCTAATTATCTAGTGGTTTCCCAAATTGTCGAGAAAATATTTCTCTTATGCAAACTTTTGCATTATGTCATTGAAGGAGAAAACGCGTTTCTCCAAATTGCAATTTAAGAGAGGATAATCTGGACATTTTTGGCACTAAAGTTAGTGGATGTTACGTGGTAGCTTTTGATTTGTTCCTTTCATGTTACTTGGATCTGTGTTTCTCTTGGCCTTGTGTAGACTGTTCGATTACTTGAACAGTGGAGATCAACCAAGATTATTATCTCTTGGCTTCTAGTGAATTTGGTTGGTAGAAAAAGACTTCTCAGTTACTGCCTTTCGCTCTCTTGTTTCTCTCTCTCTATTTTGGAGACTTTATTCTTCTTTCTTCTTGGTTTTTGGAATCTGGAGATTATTATTCCTTTGTATGATTCTTGTAAATCTCGTGTGTTTCAGTAACCAGTAGACAGGATGTGTAGTCAATCTATTGTATTTGTGTAGTTGTGGTCGGTTTTGTTAGGAAGCAGATTGTAGTGTCTAGATTTGAGATCCGTTTGGATCGATGATTGATCTGGTTGTTCTCTTTAGTTCTATGTACTGTACTCTCTCTGGGAGGTAGAATTGCACTAGTGGATTGGGCTGACTCTGAGCCCCCTAGATTAAGCCATTCGAGCCGAACTGGGTGAACATTTTCTGTGTACCTTTATTTTCTTGTACTTTGTGTTTGTGTTGCTTGTGTTGTTCTTGATTTTGGGTTAAAATACCCTACAAATCTGGTATCAGAGCTATTAAAGGCTTGAGGTAAGACATATTTGAATTTAGTTTAATTTCTAGTCGTTTTAACGTGTTTACTTCACTTGTGCAGTAACAAGAAAGTGAAATAAATCGATTCTTGGAAGCTAGGGTTTGGATTTACATTTGCAGAAATCGGATCTGCATTTGTTAAATACTGTAATACACAATATTTGGTGAGATCTTTTACAATTAAACTACAGTAGTCAATTTGCATGATATAAATGATATATGTGAATTCAGTGATGCTATTGTCATTTGATTATTCAAAGAAATTGGATATAGTGTTTAATTGTGATAGAAGCACGTTTTAGGAAATTTCATTTTTTTGTAATCTGATTGATTGATACCAACATTTTGGAAATCTGAAATTGATCATTTCGTGTTACTGTGTTTCAGTCAGTGCATGTTATATAACTGTATGTTTGTCATTTCGGGCCAGCTTAATTGTCAATTATCTGCAAACTTATTTTTTCAAAACTTGTCTGTAACTTAAGTGATTTCTTGAATTATATCACTTATGTCTTCGAGTAATAACCCTTTTACAGAACCCACAATGGGTTCGAAGGTCGAATTGAGTCAATTCGATGGAAACGGTAACTACTCTATATGGAAACAAAAACTGAGAACCATTTTGGTCCAACAGAGGGTTGCAAAAGCCCTTGACGATCCCGAAAAGTTTCTTGATGAATTGAAAGCTAAGCTTGTTGAAATTGAAGATATGAATGAAATAGCATATAGTTCAATCATTCTACATTTGTCTGATAACATAGCGAGACAAGTTGAAGAACATAAAACTGCTCGACCCATGTGGAAAGCACTAGATGCTTTGTTCTTAACTAAAACAACACCTAATAAGATCTACCTGTTGGAGAAACAGTTTAGCTTCAAAAATGGATTCTGGAAAAGACTTAGAATCAAATCTTAGTGACTTTAGCATTTTGTCAAGAGTCTTTCCCATAACGATAAGAAATTCGAGGATGAAGATCTGGCTATGATTCTTCTAAATTCACTACCTGAATCTTATAAAAATATCTGAAATGCTATAAAATATTCAAGAGATGTTTTAACATAAATGATTGTAACAAATGCCCTAAGATCTAGGGAGTTGGAGGTTAAGAAGGAATCAAGAACTAATTCCAAGGAGAAGAACCTGTTTGTGAGAGGGAGAACTGAAAAAAGAGAAAATCATTCATTGAATAGGTGGTTCAAATCAAAATCCAAAGCTAGGTCCAACTCAAAAGATAAAAGCAACAAAAAATGCTATCACTATGGAAAACTTGGACACTTCAAAAGGGATTGCTTTGAATTAAAGAAGAAGCTAAAAGAACCTAATTACAGTTAATGTTGTTGTAAGTCTAGAACTAGACTGCCTTCTTGTTATGACCGTGTCTAACGATGAAACAGACACTGTCTGGATACTTGACTGTGGATGTACCTTTCATATGTATCCAAATAAAACTTGGTTTCATAACTACAAGGAGATAGAACCTAGGAAAGTATATATGGGTGATAATAATTCACAAAATGTTCTTGGAATTGGTGACATTACAATCAAAATGTACGATGGTATTGTTAGACAGATTAAAAATGTAAGACATGTCCCAAATCTAAAAGGAAATCTCATTTCACTAGGAATTCTCAAAGATGAGGGACATACTTTTCAATCTGAAAATAATACTTTGAAGATTCTCAAAGGATCTCTTGTAGTTATGAAGGGACCAAAAAAAAAATTGTTTGTATTACTTGATGGGAGAGACTATCAATTCCCAGGATTCGAAATCCTTAACCATAACTGAAAGTAAATCTGAATTGTGGCATTGTAGGATGGGACATATTAGTAATAAGGGCTTAAAATATCTAAATGATCAAAAATTCCTTGGAAAAGATAAAATAGAGCCCCTTAACTTTTGTGAGACGTGTGTACTTGGAAAGTCTCATAGAGTCAGCTTTGAGACGGGGTCACACACTACAAATAGACCATTCGACTATGTCCACTCAGATTTGTGGGGTCCAGAAAGCCACTCAACTTTTGGTGGAAACAAATATTTTCTTTTTATAATTGATGACCATTCTAGAAAGGTCTAGACATACCCCTTAAAAGCAAAATCTAAAACATTTCAAAAATTCAGAATGTGGTTAACGATGGTTGAAAATCAATTGGGCAGAAAATTGAAAACCTTAAGGGTAGATAATGGGTTGGAATTCTGTAATGTATAATTTGATAACTTTTGTAAACAAAAGGGAATAATTAGACATAGAACTGTTAAGCATACACCCCAACAGAATGGGGTAGCTGAAAGAATGAATAGAACTCTTATGAATAAAGTTGGATGTATGCTTATAAGTTCTGATTTAGCAAAAGGTTTCTAGGCAGAAGCTTTATGCACTGCAGCCTATTTTATAAACAGGTCACCCTGCAGTTCTATAGAGTTTAAAACCCCTCAGGAACTATGGACTGGAAAGCCACCTAATCTGTCAAACATCAGGGTCTTCGGATGTGCTGCATATGCACATTAAGTTGAAGGGAAATTAGACCCCAGGACTACCAAATGTGTTATGTTGGGATACCCTGAAAGGGTACAGGTTATGGGTACTAGGTGAGAAAGGCATTAAATCATTAACAGTAGAAATGTAGTATTTAATGAATCTGAAATGCCATGCTTGAAGAATAAAAGGGATAAAAAAGATGTAATTGAAAATATTACTTTACAAAATGAGGTGAAGTTGGCAAGATTGAGTCATAATTCTACTGAAATAACTGAACTTGGACATGTACAACCTAATGAAGGGGCAGATAATATAGATGAAGGTGAAGTTACAACATCTCAAATTGAAACTGAAATTGTGACACAAGATAATCCTGTAAATGAAACCAGTACCCAAGATTATCAATTAGCGAGAGATAGGGAAAGGAGACAGATTAAGCCTAATCCCAGATATGAAACTAACAATCTAATTGACTTTGCCCTCATCATTAGTGAAAACTTAGAACATGCTGAACCTATATCTTATGAAGAAGCTATTAATAGTTCTAAGTCTCAGAATTGGAAAGAGGCTATGAGAGAAGAAATGAAATCCCTAATTGGCAATAAAACATGGAAACTTATTAAGAAACCAAAGAATCAGACAGTGGTACAATGCAAGTGGATTTATAAACTCAAAGAAAGTATTTTCCCCACTAACCCTTTGAGATATAAGGCAAGGCTAGTGGCCAAGGGGTTCACCCAAAGGAAAGGAATTGATTTCAATGAAATTTTTTCACCTGTAATCAAATATAAAATTGTAAGGCTAATGTTTGCTCTAGTTGTTCAGTTTAATTGGGAACTTGAACAATTAGATGTCAAAATTGCATTTTTGCATGGGGAGTTGGATGAGGACAATTATATGTGTCAATCTCAAGGTTTCGAGGAAAAGGGAAAATCTGACTATGTTTGTAAAATGGAAAAATCTCTGTATGGGCTCAAACAAAGTCCGAGACAATGGTATGTCCAGTTTGACACATATGTTGTGAAAATTAGTTTTAGGAGAAGTGAGTATGATCATTGCTTATATTACTACAACTCTAAACCTGGCAGTGATATCTACTCTAGTATGTAGATGATATGCTGCTGGCCAGTTCAAGAAAGATCGAAATAATAAGATGAAGAACCTCGTAAAATCAGAATTTGAAATGAAAGACTTAGGGAATGCCAAGAAAATACTTGGAATGGTCTCCAGTTTGACACATATGTTGTGAAAATTAGTTTTAGGAGAAATGAGTATGATCATTGCTTATATTACTACAACTCTAAACCTGGCAGCGATATCTACTCTAATATGTAGATGATATGCTGCTGGCCAGTTCAAGCAAGATCGAAATAATAAGATGAAGAACCTCCTAAAATCAGAATTTGAAATGAAAGACTTAGGGAATGCCCAGAAAATACTTGGAATGGTCATGACTAGAAATAGACAGAAAGACGGGTTAACAATAACTTAAGAATCTTACCTGCATAAAGTGATATCAAAATTTGGCATGAAAGAGGCAAAGTCTGTTAATGTTTCACTTGCCGCTCACATGAATCTCTCCTCAGCCCAATGCCCTAAAACTGAATTTGAAGTTAAAGACATGGGAAATATTCCTTACTCTAATACAATGGGAGCAGTAATGTTTTCCATGATCACAACCAGACCTGATCTAGCATATTCAATCAATTTTTTAAGCAGGTTTATGGCCAACCCTGGGAAACCATATTGGGATGGTTTAAAATGGCTATTACAATATATAACTGGGACACTAAAGGTAGGTTTAGTGTTCAAAAAGGGATCAGAACCATTAACCCTTAAGGGGTACGTGAATTCTGGTTTTACAGGAGATAAGGATCAAAGAAAATCTACCACTGCTTATTTCTTTACACTTGGTGATAATTGTATCACCTGGAAGTCTCAACTTCAATCCATTGTCACTTTATCTAATACTGAAGTTGAGTATGTGGCAATTACTGAATGAGTTAAAGAATGTATATGGCTCAAAGGAATTTTAAGTGAATTGAATTTTTTGTTTACTTCACCTGTTATACTTACTGTTAGTAAAGTGTCTTTTTGTTAAGCAAGAACCCTGTCTATCATGAAAGGTCTAAGCACATTGAGGTGAAGTACCATTTTATAAGAGAATAACTCTCTTCAGGTGAAATGGTTATTAGGAAAATTCATACCGACATTAATCCATTTGATACAGGCACTAAAATTCTGCATGTATGTAAATTCAGAATTTGTCTGTCAATTCTTAATATTGATACTGGGTAATTTTCTTTTCAGGTACCTTGGGCAATGATGTTGGTTAGTCTTTCCACAAATGTACAATTCAGCAACTGAGAGAGCTAGTGCAATTTTGAGAACCAAGGTGAAGATTGAAGGAGAAAACTTGTTTCTCCAAATTGCAACTTAAGAGAGGGTGATTTGGACATTTTTGGCACTTAAAGTTAGTGGATGTTACGTGGCGGCTTCTGATTCGTCCCTTTCATGTTACTTGGATCTCTGTTTCTTTTGGCGTTGTGTAGACCGTTCGATTACTTGAATGGTGGAGATCAACCAAGATTATTATCTCTTGGCTTCTAGTGAATTCAGTTGGTAGAAAGAGACTTCTCAGTTACTGCCTTTCGCTCTCTCGTTTTTCTCTCTCTATTTTGGAGACTTTCTTTTTCTTCTTTCTTGATTTTTCGAATCTAGAGATTATTACTCCTTTGTATGATTCTTGTAAATCTCATGTGCTATGGTAACCAGTAGGCAGGTTGCGTAATTGATCTGTTGTATTTGTGTAATTGTGACCGATTTGTGAGGAAGCAGGTTGTAGTGTCCAGATTTGAGATTCTTTTGGATCGATGATTGATGTGGTTGTTCTCTTTGGTTCTATGTACTATACTCTCTCTGAGAGTTAGAATTGCACTAGTGGATTGGGTTGACTCTAAGCTTCCCAGATTAAGCTATTTGGCCTGAACTGGGTGAACATTTTCTGTGTTCCTCTATTTTCTTGTACTTTGTGTTAGTGTTGCTTGTGTTGTTCTTGATTTTAGGTAAAAATACCCTACAGTCATGTCTTTCAAGATAATTCTTTTATTTGCAACCGTTGCAATTGTTTAACAGACTCCCAATCTATCGAGAAACAAGAAGACCTTTGTCTTATGTAAACTTTTGCATCATGTTATCGCATTTTCTTTTCTTAATAAATTTTGAATCGGCTACTTAGGCCTGAGCAAAAACACCGAAAAACTGACCAAACCAATCAATTCGTACCGACTTGGGTCAGTTTGACATTGGTAATTGGTTTGATTTATTTTTTTAAAAACAAAATCATGGTGGATCAATTCAATCTTGATTTGAAGTTTCAAACCGTTGGTTAACCGAACTAACTAAACCCACTTACATTTTCACATTTTTTAATTTAAGAAAAATAAAAATAAAAAGATAAATCTCAATCTCATAACTATATCTTGATTCCCTCCAATCTATAACATTGCTAGTAAATAATAGCACCGAGAATTTTCTTTCACATGCTTATTATGTTATATTTAGTATTTTTTTTCCATTCAAGTAGTCAGATTACATAATACATAAAAAAAACAATTTTTTTAAGTTTTTTGTTGACCCATCTTTATTAATATAATTTTATTTGTTAGTCAATAGTTCTTGTGATATAAAATTATTTGGTTATTTTAGTTCTTGTAATCTAAGTATACCTAAAATTCTAACAATTTCTTTTAAAAAATTTAATTTGGACTAAAAGTCCAAACAACACTCAGGCCTCCGGCTAATATTAAATTTCTCTTACAATTTTACTATAACCGTCAACTTGATTGCAACTCTAGGTAGTGGTGAATACAATTCAATTTGAATGATTTGTGACAAAATTTCAAATCAAACCACTTAAAGCAGTTTAAAATTTTTTCAAACCAAACCAACGTTTTCTAAACCAAATCACTTTTTTCGATTTGGTTTGATTTAAAATCACAATTTAACAAAGAAAAAAAAAGATATATCAAATAAGTTAAATCATGAATAGTAATAAAATAATTACACATTAAAATATAAATAGTGTCATTAAAAATATTACATACCAAAGTTTTATTATTCTAATTATTTTAATATAACAATATGATAGAAACATTTTAATCTTTTAGCCGATACGAATTGCCACAGCATCTACAATGGTAACACAAAATTCATTCTCTTTATAAAAATAAGAATATAATATATGAATTCATTAATAATAATTAAATGATATAAAAAATAGAATAGAAATATCAAATATGGTAATGCATTCTACAAGTTTTTGTGAATCATCAAAAGTTTCTACCTTATGCAAATATTGATGAATTACTATAGATTCTTTGTCACTATATAACAAGATTTTAGGGCAAATTGCCTCCTCAACCATGTTTTCATTCAACAAATTCCTTAAAGAATCAATAATTCAACCACTGCTAGGGAATGCAAATTCAAAAACAATTGTTGATATTTGAATAGTTAACATATCTTTAGCAATTTAGGAGACAATCCTTAATTTTCACCAAAGTAATATGTCAAAATGCTCATTGGCCAAATCTTTAAAATAACAATTTGAGTAATCCACTAAATCATTCTAATAATTAACTGCAAAATAAATAAATAAATAAAGTAAAAATGTAAATAATTAATTGAGTGACCCAACTAGAAAGTTAAGTCTCAAATAAATTAAAATTGCTATTCGCTAAAAATTTAAGGGCCCCCAACACAAATTAGAATAAAACAACATAACTATCAACAAAATATAGCAAATAATTACCAAAAAAAAAAAAAAAGGATAAACTAACTTAAAGCCAACATTTGAGAAAATTATTAGTAGAAAGAAAAGAAATATGTAGTTTGAATTAAAATCTAGATTTAATTGTCTATTCAATTGTAATAATGTTGTTGATAAATATGGTTCAGCCGTAATTGTTCAACACTTCACCCATTTAAGGGTTTTACATTCACAGTTGTCATGATTGATGAGTATCTGAGTATGATCTAATTAATTAATTGAGATGGATAATTATCTACTTAGATATTGAATTAAACTTATTTGTGTCTAATATGGATACATCATTTTCACCGGGATGTTTTACATGTAATTGGGTTGAATACAATTTAAATCAATTTATTTTTAATTTTTTTAAATGGTTTGGCGGCTTGAAACAATTTGTAAAGATTGAAACCTAACCAAATCACTTCGAAACAGTTTGGTTCGATTCGAAACCCAAACGTTGATGGATTTATGTGAATCCAAACCAACAGCTCCAAAAAAGCAATTTCAATTCGATTTTACGATTTGACAATTTTGTTGTTCAGCATATGCATGGTTATTCGAGACAATCGTGGAATATATAGTGACTAGTTTCTTAGGGGTTTCAAAAACAATTAGTTGAGACAAATATATCTTCCAAAGTGTATCTTCCTTGGTAAAGATTTTAATCTAGATTTTTATCAAATTCAAAGTTCATAATTAATTTTAACCATATATTTTATGAGATTCACAATTTTACAACCACACAATTCATCAATTTTCCTTAAAATCTGCTAAAAAACTGATTTTAATCCCTATCAACAAAGGTTAATTAAGAGAACAAATTCAGAGTGATTTGGATAACATGAATTTTGGAAATTGCATAGTAAATGTCGAAACGAACCCACCTTCAGTATCGAGCCGTTCAAGCATCAAGGTAGAGTGATCTAGCACGAATAGGAGCATATTGCTTAACCTTTTATCAAAGATAGGATCATGATGATATAGGTGATTCAGTGAGTTGAGATAAATAATTTTGTAAGATCATTCGAACTTGATGATAATTCTATTGAATACCTCATGACGCGCTAATGAGTAGGACTGATAATGACCATATTTAGTTGTTCATCATCTTGTTTATTTTTTATTTTTAAAATATACAATTTTTTTAGGTTTGACCTAGCCCTCTGTATATTTTTCTTTCGTTGTTGATAAAACAAGTGCGATCAATTTTATATTAAAAAGTTGTAAAATTTAAAATATTAATAATGCTTTTATGTAGTACTATTCTCTTTAAAGAGAATTTAATTTATGGCCCTTAGAAATGCAACTAAATAATCCTCGCAAATTGTCATTTTCACTAACCACTTTAATTGAACGTTTGTTTGATTTTGATTTTTTGAGATGTGGTTATTGAAAAAGTATTTTTTTTTTTTAAATGTATCATTAAGAAGTAGAGAGAAATTATGAAAAAACGTGAAAAATGATTTTTTTCTGAAAGAGCCTCTCTCTCTTCCTCCCTCTTCCAAATTATGAAAAAACGTGAAAAATGATTTTTTTCTGAAAGAGCCTCTCTCTCTTCCTCCCTCTTCCAAATTTTTTCTTTTAGATAAAAAAAATATAACCAACTTTCTAATTGTAGACAGTCCAATTCCCCAGACTATCAACCAAATTTTCGCCTTATGTGAATGTGTGCACAATGTCAAGTCTTTTAAGACACTTTATTTATTAACGATAGTTTAAACTATCCAGAGTATTCCAAAATTGTCAAGAAAATCTTCATCTTATATGAACGCATGCATGATGTCAAGTCATTGAAGTTTGTTTATTCACGACTATTTTAACCGTCGAGTGCACTTCCAAATTGTCAAGAAAACCTTTGTCTTATGCAAACTTTTGTATCATATTACGTCCTTCATAATATTTTTTATTAGTAATAGTTACAACTGTCCCGATAATCTTCAATCTGTCGAGATAATTTTTATCTTAAAAAAAAAAGGTTAAAATTGACATTTAACATATAAACGTGATTACTTTGCTAATTTTCCCAAAAAATGGTCATTTTTTTTCTTTCACCTAAAAATGGGCCTGAAACACAAAAGCCTCATTTTAACCTAAGTATTTTCCAATCTTTAACAATATAACCTTTACCCTCTAGAATGAACAAGTGAACATTATATTAAGCTTTCTTGTAGTAACAAAAGTAACCAATGCAAACTTGCACATTGACAAGTAATACTATTATACTCGTATTCGAAATCAATAAGCTTTATATTATAAAGATTTTAAATTCCATCTTAAACGATTAATCTTGTTAAAAAGAGTATCGATAAAAAAAATAAAAAATGCATACATATTCAATGTGAGATTTATCCCCTAACATATAATATAAGAGCGATAAGGCCTCTAAATCCTACACAAACCAGGAATGTGCAGAGAGATGCTCTGAATGAACTATTCTAATGTGACGTTGCATTTTGGTGCAAGAATGTTTGACAAGATTTTAATTAGACATCATGGAAAAGCATAGGTTTTACACAAAATATGCATCTTATCGCTCCATATCAATCATCTTGCATTAATATTATATATTCGCGCTCAAGATGGGTGATACTCCTATGTATACATCCATATCGTCGTATATCCATGTTCAAATGATGCATGCTTGTATATATGTTCAATCAATATGATTTTATTTTATTTTATGGATTAAAAATTAACTCCATTTTTCCGTTCTTGTTAACCTCTTCTTCGCATTATACAGTTAGCTAATTAGTCTCTTTCCAACCAATAACATAAATTTCTGATATATTTGGTCCCCTCTACGTACTGAACATTGACAATGAGTCTCATCTGGAAGGCCAAGTTCGTGCCTTCCTAACAAGCCATGCAGCCAGTCATTCTTTGCCATGTAAGGTTGATAGAAAATTTGTACTGCAGTTAGGGCACCCAAATCAAAGAAAAACGTGGTGGGTTTAGTTGACTCCGCGTGGCTTTAAATGGTTGCTGATTTGAATTATCCTTAAATATTATGCTATTTGTACAAAGTGTATTTATAAATTTGGTTGACAAAATAAGTATTGACAAAATTCAGATCATTGATTTCCAATTATTTAAAAGTCTCTTTTGAAATAATTGGTGTAGATATTACTTTGTCAACTAACTTTGTACAAATAGCATATCTCTTATCCTCACCCGCGTCTTTCCATATACAGTTCGAAGAAAAAGTGATTTCTTTGTCTCGAGTCTATTCTACGTCTCATGTAAACCATATGGTAATAATTTGAAGCAGTCAAATATGGGAAAACGAGGTAGTAGAAGCCTTGCCAGCTAGTGTCTTCTAAGAGAAGGAAGGGACTTTTAAGCATAGAAGCTGGCACCTTGAAACTATTGAGATGTTGCCTTCCAAAAGCATGTTACTGGTTGATATAACTTTCCTCATTACTAGGTTCTCCAAGCAAGTAATTAGGGTAATGGAGGTGACAAGGACAATGCTCATTTCCTTCAATTTACAAGTCCGAGTTGTTAAGACTTGAGGGTAACATATTACATCGATTGAAAATGAAAAAAATAGATAACATATAAGAGTTTGAGATATTCCTCTTAACAAATTTGACATTTCAAAATGAACTTCAAGTTTTAATGAAACATCAGAGCTCATTAAACTCAAATGAGGAATTTGTCTCGTATAAACATCAATCGTGTATCCAGATTCATGTGTTTAAACAAGTCACCATCTTGTGACAACATGTAAGAATAGAATCACACATAGATTAAAGATCAGACATTTTTCAAATCCTCTTAAACAACAATGTCTTTTAAAATGTAACGTGCTCCAAGTGATAAGAATGTTATCCTGCCAAAAAATATGTATATGAATAACATCAAAAGACTTAATTTATCTTACTACAAGAAGAAAAAGCATCGTTAAGTGCGATACACGATTTTGATATTATTCAGTCGTACATATTATGGTAACAAATACACATCGTGAAGAATTCAGCCTCATTTTTTTAACCTTCCATCTCTCTAATATGAATTGCTTTGACAGTTTAATTTCAATTTATTTTATTCAATATTTATTGCTTATTGATTATAAATTACTAGATTACCAACAATTAGGAAGAAGTGTGAATTAATTCAAAATATGATTAAAAAAAAGTAATTCAAAGTAAAATGATAAAATTAATGGTGCTAATATAACGCATCCATAGTGGTTAGGCATGCGTATGAGTAGTCTAAATCAATATAATGTTAATTTTGCTAATAAATTAATGATAAGGATATATACTAGTATTATTAAACGGCCGTAATAGTCTTGCTGTTGACATAAATTTTTTGACCATCAAGATGTGAGCAATTTACATGTTGATGAGGATGAAATTCATATAAAATGTCAGATTAAGCATGCTTATCTGAGGTTTCCATAGGGATCATCAGACACGCCTATGTTGGGGATAATAGTTTGTTATTATAATTTTGCTAATAAAAAGTTATAATACTAGTATTTTTGTTATACCGTAGTAAAAGGCTCGTCATTGTGCAATTTTTGGTACCAAACATACTTATGAGTAATGTACACTTTGATTCGTAAGATACGAATCCTAAGAAATTTGTAGATAAAAAATATATTTGAATAACTTAATTTATATCCAATAATTACAAGAGCTAGGGATTAACCATAAAGTCCCATGTTGAAACCCTACCATGCACTAGAATGGTATAAACAAGGATAGAAGGTATAAAACAAACATCAAATGGATAATACATCATTAATAGGGTTGGGTAGAGATCAGATAGTTGGGTCCATTAATGACTTACCATTAGCTGTATGGAAAGCTAACTCTGTGATAGGGCTTTCCATTCAAATTCAAGCACTTCTTTTCACATCTTTCTCCATTGTGCATATAAGTAAGCCCACAAATCTTCATTCTGAACACACGAACAGATAAAATACGATTTTTCATAACAAAAAATGGCCAAATTGACATTCTTGGGTCTAAAAGTTTTTCTTCTGTTTGTTATCGTATGTGTTCTGGCATTTCAATTGTCTGTTAGTGCACGACCGGCGACCTTTTCACATGATTTTCAAGTTACCTGGGCGGACTCTCATATCAGGCAACTTGATGGAGGAAGAGCCATTCAACTTATTCTAGATCAAAACTCAGGTACCATTTTTTTTTTTTTTTTTTGGGGTCATATATATATTTTATAAAACTAAATATAGATTCCTACCATGATCAGATGATAAAAAGAAGTATTTGAATCTTAATTAGGATGCGGATTTGCTTCAAAGTATAAGTATTTGTTCGGACGTGTTAGCATGAAAATCAAGCTCGTACCTGGTGATTCTGCAGGAACAGTCACGGCATTTTATGTAAGTCCATCCTTTTCAAATTTAATCATGTTTAGTACTGTCGAGTCTACTATTCCGAACTTGCCATCCTTTTCCCATATATTTCATTTTTGTGAAAATGTTTTTATTAGCAAGTTCTATTATGTCGTAGATGAACTCAGACACAAACTCAATACGAGACGAGTTAGATTTTGAATTCTTGGGTAACCGGACTGGACAGCCATACACAGTACAAACTAATGTCTATGCTCACGGGAAAGGAGATAGGGAACAAAGGATCAACCTTTGGTTTGATCCTTCTGCAGAATTCCATACTTACAGAATCATGTGGAACCATCATCAAGTTGTGTAAGTTCCCGTGCTACCCTTGTCATACTTTACGTCCCTCTCCTCTTCAAATTAAAAAGTTTCATAATGATTTGTGGATGAATTTCATATCAATTTTAGCCCTCCTTGCTGCACCATTTTAATTTTAATACATTTTTCTCTTTTTTCTTTTCAACCACACATTTTTAAATAAAATTAAATAATGTCACATGTAAATCAAAAACTTTTTCTTATTTTTTAATCATACATTCTCCAAAAAATTCACTATTTCAAAATAAATTTCCTTCCAAAATCATGTTAAAATGGAGTCCAAACAATCATACTTAACATTTCTTTATGGGTTTTTTGGTAGGTTCTATGTCGATGAAGTCCCGATTAGGGTTTACAAGAATAATGAAGCCAAAGGCATTCCATACCCAAAGTTCCAGCCCATGGGAGTGTTTTCCACCTTATGGGAAGCTGATGACTGGGCAACAAGGGGTGGCCTTGAGAAGATAGATTGGAGCAAGGCCCCATTCTATGCATACTACAAGGATTTCGACATTGAAGGTTGCCCTGTGCCAGGCCCAAAAAATTGTGCCTCAAATGTTAACAATTGGTGGGAAGGATCTGCATATCAAGCACTGAGCCCAGTCGAGGCCCAGAGATACCATTGGGTTCGTATGAACCACATGATCTACAATTACTGCACTGACAAGTCCAGGTACCCAGTTACCCCACCCGAGTGTGTTGCAGAAATCTAAAACTTCATTCTTAATCCGTACAAATCTATACGTACAGCCTATTTATACACTAGTTTGATGTACATGGAATGAGCCATGCGCATGAAGAGACATGGGGGGAATTGTATAAAATGTTGTTTGGTTCATATATCCACATCCTATGCTTTGAATTTGTGAGTCCATAGAAGCTTCAAAAGTCGCTGTCTTTTTCTTGCTGTATTATTCTGTCTGTATTTGTTTAAGTCAATAATTTTATAAATCGCATGATTGACAAAAGAAAAATCCATTTGTACATCATGATTGACTTCATCCTCGTCGAGATTTGACTAGTGAAAAAACTATATATATATATATATATATTTAAATTGTCCAAACGTGTGCAGCTACGTCCTACGTGGCAAAGTGTAAAATTTAGTGTACACCAAGCATGATTGTTTAAAAAAAAAATGTAACTAAAAGTTTCTCGAGAATGAATTTATGTTAGTTGTACATTTCTGTATGACATTAAGTGATGTGTGAAAAATTATGCCATTGATTTGAATAAGTATTGTTAAAATCAACGGCCCAAGGTGTTGCTGCGTCAAAACTATATACTAATTGATAAAAAGGAAATATTAACTAAATTATTTTACAATTTAATGTAGATGAGATAATTCATAGTAATAGTAACAAATTAATAATGTATGTTTGTTTGACAAAGTTTTTAATAAATGTTTTCGCACAGTTTGATAAAAGTTGATGAATTATAAAATTTAAAAGTTGAAAAAAGTTATGAATCTCATAAAATATATGACTAAAATTGATTATTAATTTTAAACTCAACTTTTTTCACAACTTTTTAAACTTTTCCAAATAAACAATTATACTATTAGTAAATGACATCTTATTCATGTTTAAAATATACAATTAATGAAAACGAAACTTGAAGTATATATCCTTAAATTAGGTGGCAAAAGGAGAGGTTCAAAATATAGATTAAAAAAAATTAATAAGTACAGTAGTTTGTTTATGTTTAGTAATGTGACATGACACATCTATTATTTAGAGAATAATTAATTTTTGAGACCTGCTATGACCTTATTTTTCAATTAATTGATATTTTTTTTTACTACTAGTTAAAGTTGAACGTGCATTACACGTTATTTTAAAATACTTTATAGGTGATGTAAAAGTAATATTTGGTACCAATTTGTTGGAAAATTTGATGAGTTTCGGACGAATAAAAAAAAAATTTAGCGTAGAAATTTAAGAAGAAAATTGTACTCTCAAAACTCAATTTCTATTATTCAATTTTTTCATAATGATGAAATACTATAAATGAGCAATCTTTTCATATTACATTTGATAAATAAAAATTAATTGTTAATAAATAAATTTAAACACCCATTAAAATTTTTAAATACATGAATATGATAAATTTATCTATAATAACTCTAAATTCATGTAATTCAAGATTCATCAAGTGAAAATTCATTGAATCTAGGTTAATGTGAATGTTAATTAATTAAGAATTAATAACATAAATTTCATAAATGAAAATAATTATGTAGTATTTATTACATATCAAAAAACGAAAAGTAAGATATTATTAAAATAATTGAATTGCAGGGGGTTAATATCGTCCAAAAAATAATTCTTTCTTGATGTGATATTTTAATAGATTATAGATTACTTAACATAAACTAATTAACAATACTTAGTACACCTCCTTAGTTCTAAATGGGTCTAGCTCAAGAATGCACGACATACGTAAAGGATAACTAGGAAGATTATACATATAATTAAAGATGAACCCCATGTTGAGAGGATATCATAATGCAACGACAAGCAAGGAAGACTAATGAAGCCAATAAATGCAAGAAGTATCCGACCATATAACATATATGTAGAATTTTAATGTCGCACCAATGTACGTAAGCTCGAGCTTGATAGTGACCAATATCTCCTTGAGATATTTTTAAGCTTTATGGTAGCATAATAAACAAATTCAAAGTGCGTCATGGGGATAAAATATGAAATGACAAGAATCGATGGACATCGGAGCACATTGTTATATTATTCAATAAATCTCAAGAGTGATGGGACATTTTACTTTGGAATTTGATTTAACACGAATATAAACTAGACCAATCCTAGTTAAGTGTCTCATCCATCTCTGAAAAAAAATAAAAAAAAAATTAACTAGTGTTTATTTCGTGATCTCTCCTACCTACCAAAAACAATGCAAAATTTTGACGTTGACAATACTCTAACAAATACTATCAATTAAGAGATTTGTAAAACGTAACAAATATTCGCCCGCCAAGACAAAGCTTTTTTGAGATTATAAACTGGTCGAACTTCGTTTTTAAATTTTTAGTCACACATTATATTTTAGCCCAATTTTTATCCACTACACATTTCATGAGAACCTCCATCTTATTTAAAAAGATTTGTCAAAAAGGGTGGTTATTCTTGACATGAAATAAATTGATTAAGATTTTCGAAATAACGGTCAAGTAATGGGCCCCCAACATTAGTCCCCTCATCAAAATTGGGCTCAAAAGGCCAACACAACACCAAAATAACGGGCTTTTTAGAATGGGCAAATAAGGAGCAGTAAACTAACGAGCCTAGTCCATTGTGGCCCAGATTCATAAAGAAATTACAAAAAACATACTAAAATTACAGACCTATTTGAAAATCAGCATAAAAATTAGCCTAGCAATTAATTAAGCTTATTAACAATTAAAAGTGTATAAATCACCGTAGTATATAAACAACAGCAAAATCCCCAAATCAAAACCCTAACCCGAGACAATCCAAAAATTGGAAAACTCTTACAAAATTCTTCTAATCTAATTCAAATTCTCAGTAAAAATTGACTTCTTCCAAATTATTGTGATAGTATTTTGCTGTTTTTCAGGTAATATACTCGTTTTACTTGGGAAATTTTTGTTGTCGTATAAATGAAAATTCAACTTTAGATTTTGTTCGAGGCATCAAATTGAGTGCGGAACCAAGAATTCAAAATCATAATTCGACTTAGGTTTTCATTTTTTTGTGTGTGTATGTGAAAATTCAACTCAGATGTCACGAAGGTATTAAAACGTCATCGAATTGAATGTCTTGAAGACAAATAACTTTTGGAAACTGCTAGTTTTGATAAAAATGACATGACGCAGTTACAAATTTTTTTTCTTGATTCAAACTTAGAAAATCCTATTTACATTTATTCATCAAGGTGAGATTGAATAATAATGTCGATACGAGAGTTCAACGATATTATATCCAAAGAATCCATCATGTAGCTTGTGAATAAAAATAAAGTTATGCAGCATCATTCTATATTTCTTTAAGTGATATGTCGTCTTAAATGAAATTCGTGACTCTACTTTAAATATCATCTATCAATTAATGTCATTTCAATTAGAGTTTAGCACCAACAATGCTAAATATTATTACTTAATAAATTAATAATAGTACGAGATCCGTGAAACCCACAAAGATTTGCATAATAGACAAAACATCATATTAAAGGAGATAGGATTAAATTCACTAATGGGCATCCAATTTTATACTTAGTGTCTAAGTGACCACCCATTTGATTTTGTTTCATCTTGGCCACCCAACTTTATACTAGTGTCACCATGGCCATTCAATTTAATTTTATTTCACAACGACTACCCAATATCATATAACGTTTCTTCATAGCCACCCAACTTTTTTTCACCAATTCAACTAATTTTAAAAAGGGGTAAAAATGTAAGTTTCCTATATATATATATACATACATACATACATACATACATACATATATATACAGTAATACCATAAAGTTGAATAACCATTGATGAATTTAACCCAATGGAGATATATAAATTTTTAAATTTTTATTTATTTTCTCTTTTTTTTTTTCTAAAATAAAAATTTCATACGTTTTATGATTCGGACAATCGTGGACGACTAGATCCTCCCATATTAATCATCAATTAATTTATGAAGAATTTCTGGCTGCCTAAGCAATTATGGCCACAAGATTATATATGTATGATTAGTACCGACAATTTAAGAAACAAAAGACGTGTGTCTTCCTAGTTTCTTCGTTTCTTTAGTTGTTACGTGTGTAAAATAAGACAGAATAATTGAGCCTTGTTATTCCTCATCACTCCTTTTAACTTTTCTCATCAAATTAAATAAAATTGGATGGTTCTCGTCGTTGTAAATTTCCTTTTTTTTTTAATGCATCATTGTAGATTAATTATGCAGCTAAAATGAAAGATTAAATTTGAAATTAAATTTCATTTTTTTCCCCTACAAACTAGAAACTGGCTTGCTATCCAGTTAAGGAACCAATTGTTTAATTTCTTTTATTCTTGAAAAAGAAGAAAAAAACTAACTAAAAAAATAAAATCTCGAAAGGCATACAATGAAATAAATTACACTAAAAAAATTTAAAATTGTTGCATTTTTTATTTTTATTTTTTGGGAAAACTCCAAAATCTTGTGATAGTCTTCAAATTTTATTTTCTATTTTTCTTATATTGACTTTCATTATAAAAGCGAAAGATGCTTCGGAAAAAGAGAAAGCGATTGGTTTGAAACTCAAGAAATACATAATTGTGATAACTATTTATTTTCAAAGTTACCCAAAATTTGTTTGGGGCAATTGCTTATGTTGTTTATTGGGTTATGCTACGCCTACTCGTGCATAAAAATGACATATAAGTTATTACATAAAATTATATGAAGGAAAAAAATTGGATTAAAACGTTGACTGTATTTTAAACTAATAAATAATAATGTGACATATGTCATTAAATAACCCATTATGTAAAGTTCAACATATATGTAGCAAAGTCCATTTCAAAAATATTTAGTTAAATCATTTATGTCGAGCAATAGAAAAGCCTAATTAGAAGTGAATGTTTTCTTTTTCAAATTTTCATTATTTTGATTTTTATTGAAATCGATGGCAAAATTATATGTTTATTCAGATTTACATTAGTTTTAGAGGAAAAAACATTAAATTACACTATTTATTGCCAAATGCATATTTGGACACCTACGATTGAGAAATTTATAATAAGACTGCAGTGTCAATCAATTCAAAAAAAGGAGAATCTTCAATAAAATAAAATATGTATTTAAATTTTTTGAAAATAAGTGAAAAGAAAGAAGTACATATTTCTATGCATACTTTTCTAAGTCACAATATCAGAGTAATGCTATTCGTAGTCGCTCACTGCGGTAGTCGTCCTACGTGACATACACATGACATATAATTATTTGATACATTAATGTGGTAGTTTTTTTATTCATTAATGTATCAAATAACCACATACCATGTGTATTCCACGTAGGGCGACTGTTGTAGTGAGCGATTGCAAATAGCATTATTCTTTTGAAAATTACTCAAACCGAATTCAGGTAAGATGATGAAATAATCTTACTATACGTTACATCGAATAGGATGGAACATATGAGCGTCAAAAGAGGCATCCAAGTGGACCATTGATTTGTTTGTCCACATGTCTATTGAACACTACGTTAAGAAAAAAACTGAAAAAGCTAATTTAATGTTTGATAAGCATTATAATAAAAAAGATAATTTTTCTAGCAGAATTCAAACTGCATGATATTAGCTAATGTATTGCATAAATAAACAATTGTGTTTTCTTATAAGTTTGACGTATTGAACTTGTTCTAACTTTTATTTTAGGCAAAAACCTACTACAGTAGATAATCAACTCAATATGAAACGTTAATAATATGTGCTGAACACATGCAAGTCGAACGTTGAAGTCATGCATATAATCCTTCTTCGGTTAGGTCCTCAACAGACAAAACCCAGGTCAAGGTAACTTAACGTTATTTTAAGCAATGCTTGCTCATGATAGTCCATGTAACGGTGATATTTGTCACATTTTTTATTTTTCAATGATTACAATACATTTCAAATTTATAGGAGAATTGATCTAAGTTTCGTTATCATGTTCTAAAATAAAACTCATCTTAATATGTGATCGGTTGAAAATTTTACAAAGAATGTAGGATAAAAATTGAACTAGATCAAAATCGAGCACTTTTAACATATTTTAGTTCGATAATACATTTAAATAAAATATTTGATCACTCAATGATTAAATTATTGATAAGTACCATCAAATTTCACAAACTAGTACTATGATATGACGTCAACATCAAGAAGTTGAATTGTTCAACGAATCCCATACATACGATGAAAAATCATATTGTTGAAAATAATGTTGGTTCAATAATGAAATTGAAGATAATGAGACAAGTGAGACAAGAAGTCACGTGAATATCACGTGGAGTTTGACCCACAGGTCCCCTAAAGGCTCCATGGGCCCATCAGCCTAATATGCTGTCAATAAAATTTTGTTTTTTACTCTTTACCGACAAATAAACGTGTCCCAACCTAACCGCTCCATCTGAATCCACGCACATCATTCTAACGTCCAACTGATTTCCCATTAATCACGCACTTTTTGTCTCGTTAAAACCAACCGACATAACTTTAATAAAGGCCTGATTTTACTCGATATTTTGTGCAATGCTATTCATTGCTATGGACAAGGAATGAAGAAAGCTACTCAAACAGATGAAAATGATAGAGTTTTAAAATAGGTGTTGTATGTCAGCACCCATCTGATCTTTTTTTTTTTCCAAACTAGCCAATCAGTATTTGACACGTGTTTTTAGTTTTAAACCCTTTCCCTAACCTTGTTTGTGTAGCAAAATTCATAATAGATTGTTTTCTACATGATAGCATGATTATTGTCACATTGTCGAATGAATGAAAATACATCTTAAATTTAATAGTATGTTTCATTGACACGTGATGACGAGTAGCATTACTTCCTCTTTACTCACATGCAGAGCAATGTTATGTGCTGATAGTGGTGATATCGTTTGTTTAAATGACGGTTTACTATTCAACTTATTGTTTCATTGAGTTGTTAAATGTATTGAAAATGAATCAAAGGCTTCACTATCACATTAACCGATTGTGATTACAATAATGATTCATAACATTATTCTTAGATTTAATCACTTTCAATCTAACGTAACGTAGTCATATATAGAAAAAATTAAGGTTAGACGAAATTGGACAAAAGCGTTAAGTAATTTGATGATTTTGATTTCTAGCTAGCTTTGAGTCTTGTTAAAGTCGAGTGTGATTTTTAACCTTCATATTCTAGGTTTCAGTTATGTAACGATAAAGATTTGTATATTTGATACTATTCGAAAGGCTCAAAAGTTCCAACTTTAGTTTTCCCTAATAAATCACGGTCAATATACTATGTTAATAACTCGTCAAGAAATAAAATAGAAAATGGAAAAGAAGAAATTATCAAATATACTGATAAATAAATTTTACATTTTTTGCGGGGATAATCAATACTCAATAATTAAGAGAAAAAACAGGTAAATTATGAGAGAAGAAGAAATTTAAATTATCGACAACTAATAACAATTCTTTCATTAATAGTACCACACACGTATATTTCCTTAAAGATTTACAAAACTTCGATCGTAAACATGATCAGTAATTAATATTTATAATTTCTACAACTTAGTGCACTACTTAACTGTCATTACAAGCCCATCACCAAAATAATAAAAAGGTCATGGCAGAGTTTAATTACTAAAATTAATTATCAAGCTGCTGATGGATTGGTCAAGAGATTATAGAAATGTGGCTTGCTCTTTGACCCATTATCATCAACATCGGCGGTGGGACCAGTGGTGGCGCCGCCCACTCTTTCACAGGATGGACACATGGATAGGGTGGCCGCCGGCAGCTGCATGTACAAAGGTGGTGGAAAGTTTAAAGATTTCAGTTGCTGTAATTCCTTCTGTAGCCTTCTGTTCTCTTCTGTTAATGTCTCGAAGCATTTCTTCAACTGTTCACAGTCAACCTCAGTTTGCTTAAGCTTTGTCCTGAATAAACAAAAAAATAATTATATTCAAACCACAAAATTTATGAAATACACGACATTTTAATTATAATGAATGACCTTAGCATTTGTTCATTATCACACTTCTGTCTCCAACTTTTTTTTTCAAATTCTTATCGTGCACATAGATGATAGTTTTAGTTCAAAAATTTCTATTGAAATAACATGAAAAGACTTAATTGCCTCTCGTAGTTTTAATTAACAGAAATAAATAACAAATGCAAAGGTCAGACAAAATCGTAATCAGGGACGAGATATGCTATTGAGTTGAGAGTTAACAATTAAAATGTTATACAAAAAAATAAAAAATAAAAATTGAGGATATAAATGTAAAAAGAACAAATATTGGAAGACCTTCATTACAATTAAAATGTAGTGCACAAAATAATAAATGTGGTGCGAGTATAATTAGTCAAACAAAAGTGGCAAGAAATTCAAACTAATTATAAAAATTTCACCTTCACAATTGTACTTTATTTATTTTAGTTATTAATAAATAACACCGAATAGTTGCTTTAAAAAAAATAAAGAAATTTATAATTGTCTTTTTATCAAAATAAAAATACCCACCTTGCTCTTCTATTCTGGAACCACACTTCCACTTGTCGAGGCCTAAGCTTCAACTCCTTTGCTAACTCTTGCTTATGTTTCTGACATAAAAAACTACCATCACTTTGATTCTTAAGAAATTAACAACATATAATCACAAGGGTAGTTTGGAAAAAAAAAATTGATAAATTTTTTAATCGATTTCGATTAAAAATTGATGAAATGTATCACCAAAATTAAAATTCATGTCAGTAGATTTAGCAATTTTACCATAACCGTCAACCTAATTGCAACTCTATTTTCATCATTATTCGAGATTGGGACCAACTACAATAAATATAGATGGAGTTATATATGGTAAATACGCATTATTAAGGAGAGAGAAAGAGAGAGAGAGTACAGGATTGAGAGTGCTGTGTTGCTTGAAGCTTTCTTCTAAAAGGGCTGACTGTGCTTTAGAGAGCCTAAGTTTCTTCCTTCCATTCGAACCATCATCGTCTTCATAAGTACAAACTCTTGACGCCATTCTTTCTCTCTCTTCCTCTTCACAGGCAACCTTTCTCTCTCTCTTCAGGTTGCCATTGCAAGGTGATGAAACGCCACCACTATCCTGTGGTTGCAAATTCACATGGTCAACAGATTGATCAGCAGAAAGGGTCAGAGTAAGCGATGGCTCAGATCCTTTTTCAAACTGATCATCAAGTTTTAGGTATGGCCTTCGATCTGGTTCTGATGGAAGACCTAATCCCAGAACAAGGCCTGGGTTATGTATATCATCAAAACCCATTTTATTTCAGAGTAAGGAAAAGCAGGGGTGTCTTTTTGATTTTGTGTTTGTGGTTGTTCAAAGGAAAGACTCTTCAAGGAGAATATTAAATGGGTGGGTAGGAGTGGATTTTCCAAGACTAATAATTTAAGGAATGAATAAGCAGAGAAAGGAAATTTGATATTAAAAATGATGAAATTTTTTGACTTAGAGACCATTTTATCTTTGAAAAGTTTGACATGTCCATTTAATTATTAAGCACCTTTTTAAGACCCATTTCTTAAATTATATTATTTTTTATTAAAGGTTGTTTGAGTCCAATTTTTTCAAAAAAATACATTTTGAGATAAGGTTACGATGGAGACTGCATGGTCAAAAAATAAGGAAAAATTTTAAATTTACGTGTAAGATTATTTTATTAAAAAATATGTAGTTGAAATAAGGTCAAATCACTGTTGAAAAATATATTTTTATTAATAAAAAAAATGACTCAAACAAGGGGCTAAATTCATTTTTAATCGTCATTCTTCCAATAAAATAAATTTACACATAAAATTCAAATTTTTTTCTTTTTTAATTACACATTTTCAAAAAAATCATTCAAAAATGAATCTAATATAAAAATGGGGCTCGAACACGGACTAAAGTGGATGGATTCCGTCTGTTAAAGATTAACCGCACATCTATAACTATAGGCGTTGATTAAGCGGTCAAGTTAAAAAAGAAAACGATATAGCTACCAGCCTTATATTAATAGTGTAATTTTCCTAATAATCATAGGAATGGAAAGTAGACGAGAAAATTAGGTATGGAAAATGATGAAAAGTCCGTTACTTTGTGTTCAAAAAGGTTGACCATTTGAACCCAACTACCGTTTTCAATTAAAAATGGCCAAAAAAAGGAGGAAACTACTTTTCTCGGAATTTAGATGACAAGACGAATATTCAATGCAAATAAATGAAAAAATGAATACGTGGATACACGTGGCAATCATAGAGGCTTGCACGTGCGACTGTCACATTTATTAGGCTGGTGAGAATGGGGTGTATATTTATTGAACATTTATCTCCAACAAAATCTTTTTCAACAATTTAAATTAGTTTTCTATTGTATATTAATTAAAAACATAAATGTAAGACGTTTATTAAATTTATTTAAAAATCTATATAAAATTAAATTTTGTGGTCAACAAATATCTACCTATCGGCATTCCATCAATATCCCAATTTACAATGGTATTAAAAAATATTTTGTGACCACCACAAATCTATAAATCATACTTCTAAACTTATAAGTGCAAGCATTAATTATCTTTTTGAACAATAAATGCAAAAAAAAAAAAAAAAAACCATAAAATTGATTAACATGAACTAATTTAATTGATATCGTATATTTCAAAATAAATAAAATCCGAAACAAATTTGTAAAAGCTTCATGGTCTGAACTGACTTATTAGTAATTCCAAAGGTTGGAATTTTTAATTTAGAATCGAAATAAAATATTTGGTCTGAAAAGTACTGAGTCAATCTTGCTCCAAGTAGTCGCGTTACGTGATCTAGCTCTCATCATTTGAAAATAAGAAATGAACTAACGCCCAGTAAGCAAACGTTATGCATAAGATGAGTGGTTATAGAAGCATATGAATTACTTTAAAATAAATATTTTTCCTCATTATGTATCTTATTTTCTTTCATTTCTTTAAAACTTTAATATTGATATTAACATTGTAAGCTCATTTTGGTGAATCCTCTAACCAATTAGAATACAATTGGCAATTATTATTTGAAATTCAATTCATTCTACCGATAGTACCACAAAGCGGTTAACATTATTATTAAATATTTAATGTTAAACATTGGTCAAGTGCATCAATCCCTCACGTCTCACTTCTCGTTCACACTTTTTATGACATAGACATGTGCCACAAAACAAAAACATTAGGGATATATATTCTTTTAAAATATTTACTCTCACATTGACATTTGAAAACTTTTTATTTCTTAAAATGTCATGCATGCTTATGAATGTAATGTTGTGTATGAATATGTAATTAGAAGCATTAAAGACATAAAAAGTAATAATCAAATATTTTGTTCACCTTAGCAATTTTGGTAACATGTTTATACACTTAACTACGTGACGGGAAATTTTATTTATCTTGAACCCTAGTAATTTACTTTTTGAATGGCAAGTGAAGATGCTCCTTACCGTCCATGAAATCAACATACCAAAAATTCTAATTCGTTACCATTTTCTTGGGAATTTTGACAAAATCCACTATTTTAATTGTTCTCTTAAATTAATTTTATTTATTAATTATTATTGAAAAATTATATTTATTAATAAATAAAAGTGTTAAGATATATAACAATTTTAGGCATAGAATACAATTAAAATATCATCAACACAAATAGGTACTAATTGTTCAAAGATCAATAAAATATTAACAACTATGCTGCACGTATAGGGCCATGTTGGCCCAATACATGTCAGGGGGACCAACTGTCCCCTTCCTATACGTGTAGCATTTTTCAATTATTAATTTATTTTACTACCTACTTCAATAAAATTATATATGCATACAAACACACATATATACGCACACGTAGGGACGGAGCCAGGAGGGACAACATTTTTTTTTTTCATTACTAGGCTGATACATAATTTTTTTTATACTAAAATCTAAATGGGGATGTGGACAGTGCTGGGAGAAAGACCCTTCCCTACGCAACTATGCACACATCTATTTATTTATATACTAACCCATTCCATAAAGATATGCTTGATTTCTTTTTTTGTATGTTCCAAATTATATATCACTTTTCTTATTGAAAGTATAGATATTTTTTAATTTTCTACTATGCCCCAATTTAATGTACTTTATTGTTAATAAATATAAACTAATATTGTATTTAAACCATTATTTAATGTAGGGTTTGTATTATGATGATAGAATTTTTTTTATATTTTTAAACTATATTAATTATATTTTCTTAATCTGTGTAAAAATAGAAATAAACATATCTTTATAGGACGAATGTATTATATACACGTAGACAACACACACACATATACACACAGGAATAACTTCCTTTGTTTATACTTATTTTCAAAATATTTAAATACAAATTATATGCACGATTCTCCTTTTTTTTTTTTTAATTAAATGACACTAAATTTCTGAATCATAGGTATACAAATATGCATTTGACAATAAAATAGTGTAATATAATGTTTAGTCTCTATAACAAACGTAAAATTTGGATAAACATATAATTTTGTCATCGAGTTTAAATAAAAATCAAAATAAGGAAAGTTAGGAAAAGAAATTTCTTTCTAATTAGGCTTCATGTATAATTTTAGATAAAAAATTTCTATTGCTTGACACAATTGACTTAACTATATATTTTTGAAATAACAAACATAAGGAATTATCCCAAACAAATTTTATGTAACTTCGAAAATAAATAGGTAAGTATGCTTGAGTTTGTCCAAACCAATAAATTTCTCTTTTTTCCAAAGCATTTTTCACTTTTAGAATGCAAGTCAATATAAGAAAAATAAAAAATAAAATTTGAGCGCTCTATATCACAAGATTTCTTAGTTTTCCAAAACAAAAATTGAAACAATTTTACAAATACTTTCTTAATTTAGTGTAATTTATTTCAGAGTATTTGCCTTTCGAGATTTTATGTTTTAGTTAGTTAGTGTGTGTGCATGTGTGATGGGTTTTTTTTTTTTTGGGTGGCATTAATCATGGTAATAATACATATATAATCTTGTGGCCATATGTGCTTAGGCAATCAGAAATTCTTCATTGTTGGGACAAAAATTGAGTTGCAAAATTTTTTTGAAAACAACACAAGGCAAAGCCCTATGTTTGGGAAAACTATTTGATGATTGATTTGGGAGGATATTCGTCCACAATAGTTCGAATCATAAGATTTAGTACAAAATTTTAAATTTTGAAAAATAAAAAATAAAAAAAAATTGGGGAATCGGTAGACATCACCTGACCTATATTGCAACACCACTACTTAAGTTTATATTTCTCTTTAGTGCCCCCCGGGGGGGGGGGGGGAGGGTGGACACCCCATCCTTCTATTACAACATTTACTTGTTTTTTTATGTCGAGAACACCAATGGTTGAATTGGGTGTAATCTTACGTTTAAGTTATGATATTTGGTATAATTAACATATGATTATAGTTGAAATTGAGATATCTTAGTTGATTCAAGGCCCATGAAAATTTCAGTTCTTGTCAATGTTATTTACAATTAATTTTCTTCATTTCATATAATATTTTATGGTTGTGGGAAAGATTTGATTGTAGAATAACTTGAATGTGTGAAAGATATGGAGCCATGAATATTACTATTGAAAACCATATTTCTCGTTATTTTAATATTTCAATTGTTAATATAAATTTTTTTACAACCACTTCTTTCGTTGTTGAAAAGAAAGGCAACTATATTTTAGTTTCTTCAATGATATTTTATCGAAAAAGATAATTTACACAATGACAAATCAAGCAATTGTTAAAATAAAATTAATGGATTGTCATTATTTATTTTTAACGACCAGTTCTTTCATTATTAAAATGAAAGACAGCTAAAATTTGATTGCTTTCATTTTATTTTAACAACAATTGTTGAAACAATAGAACAAGTTGTTATTGAAAAAAGAATAGATTGTCAATACAAACCTTTTACGGTAAGTTATTTAGTTGTTGAAATAATACTTTTAATGACAAAACATATTTTTAGTCATTGAATACATTCATCAACACCTATTTGCCAATCAAGAAACGACCAAGTGATTTTGATTGTTGAATTTGATCAACAATAAAAAATGCATATTCTATGTCCATTTATCTGGTTGCTGTAAGTGCTATTTAATGTAGTGTGTTTCATTATTGCAGATCTTTGTAGAATAAATGAAGTCCATCAAAGGTTCAATCAATATGATCTAATTAATTATTGTTCCCCGCGGCACTTCTTCACTGGTAAAGGAAGGGTTCTCTCAAGGCTGGCAGTTCAGAGGTCGTGGGTTTGATTCGTGGGGCTCTTGGAAGGATATACTGGAAGGCAGGATTTATCCTGGAAGGCAAGGCGCAATGTGGGTTGGCTCACTAGGCACTTTGACAGTTCAGTTGGAGAGACGCTCGGATC